AGCAGATGCTCTATTGCTTTTGTAAAGGCATACACTGCTCGCTGGGGACGACTACCAATATTCGCCTGACAAGCTCAAACCATACAAGTTCGAGACCGCATACCACTCCAATTGCAGATCATACGGTTAGCGATGGTATTGCCCCTTCGACAACACTACTACGGCATTCCCGAGTCAATTTAACATTTTACCGGAAATTCCGGGTAAGATGCATTGGTATATTATCAAAATGGTAAATTATCGGAATTCTGATAGTTTACCTACTTTTCTGGGGGAAAAATACAAATTTTTCAACTTTTCACTGACAGTTTTTCATGAATTTTGCCAAATTTTCAATGAGATAAAATATGCGCAATGCAAGTCCATGGCATATTCGAACAATACAATCATGTTCGAAGAGCCGCTATACCAAATTTCAGATTGATATGAACAGCAGTTGAGATGGTGGAGCTGCCACACGAAATGGCGCGTACTGTAGCTGATCTTCCCAAAAACGTACAAACTCCAATTAACGACGTTAATTCTGAGTACATCACGCGTCATCACGTGGACAAATAGTCAGTGCCGATTAGATCGGCATTGTACTGACACATACCTCATTCTAGTACTATAACAATCTCTCACAAACGATGCAAGTCTCAGCACTCTTCCTTACCTCGCACACTCCAAGATGATAATACAAATCAGCCATACACTCTTCAGGAGGCCGATCAGACTCGACCGCCCTCTCTAGATCCTTAATAGCTTCCTCATACCGTAGTTGTACGAAACGTGCGACTCCTAACAAACCATACCACTATAATTTCGTGGCGCGCGGTAATTATTCTCACCTCGACGATAATAGAGATAGTTGCCATCACCATCACAATCTCCCATCGCTATCGCCTTACATAAATCATCATCAGCTCGGCCGTACAGCCCATACTCTAGAAAACACTGAGCTCGATTACTAAGATACTCCAACACCTTGCCGCCTGAAGAGACGTGGGAATCTTGCAATCTTGCTCTCACTTACCCGATTTCTCAACGGCTGCTGATAGGTCTGATATTGCTTCTGGAAGGTTTCCGAGATACTTCCAACACATTCCTCGTCTATTATATACCGCAGCTGGGTCAACCGGCGACAGTTTCAACGAACTGACATCCATTGACAAGCATGCGTGCACCATCATACCACACCATCAGCAACTCCTACTCGCTGAGATCTTCCAGAGCCTTCTCATAGTCTCCCAACTCGGACCTTACCATCCCTCGATGGAAAAGATTCTCCCTCAACGCCTCCTCCAGTGCACACTTCGACTCAGGAGTCTCCTCCCGAACCAATTCCAACAATTCGATCGCTCTATCAAAATGCCCAAGTGCTTCTCTCAGCCTGCTGAGAAATCTTCCGAGTGCGGTAATGATGATGATCAACCGAAGATTCACCTTTTCATTTCCTCACAAATTAACCCTCTCGCCTGATGAACCTGGGCCAGCAGTTTATTATCGTTAATTCTTTCAAAACGATCGTCCATAAAACAACGAAACGCATCTTCTGTTTTACCACATTCACGATACCTAATAACAAATCAACATCATGAACAACTACCGTCACCAAGGTATGCCCCTTTGCATGAAACTTCCGATCAGTGTTGGAGGAATATATGTTCGCTATCCTCAGTGGAGTTACGAAGTCTTCGCATTTTTCATATAAGTTCATATACGAATTAGAATGAAAATGTTCAAAAAACAATAAGAGTTTCTCCAAGTTTTTAATACCTAGTTTTTCATATTGTCATCAACACATGTGGTTGATTTCTGGGAAAATATGCACATCGTCAACTACGTCTGTTGATGGCAATTCGAAAATTCTTGGCGCTTTCTGTACACATCTACCCGAACTCGTACATAACTTTATCATTCCCACTATATTTAGTGAGAAAACCAAACGCATATCGCAACGCCCTTCCCAATAAGTATTCACCATCGAAACAGTCCATGGCCAGACTCCGTGAATTCAAATTCGCAAACCACGAAATGGATACAGAAAAAATCTTGCAATCACAAAAAAATTTTCCCGTAAAACTTCCTCACCACTTACATTATCCCGAGATGCAACATCGCTGCCAAATACGTTTGATCTTTCTCCAGAGCTCGTTGGAAACACTCAATCGCCTCACTCATCCTCCCTAACTTCTGATAAACCAAACCTTCGTAATGACTATATCTACCAAAAACAAACCCTCTGGGTACCAGCACATCATTGTTGTATCATCCCTAGTATAAATCACACTTATATTTTTCTATTGCTATTCGTTTATTTAATTCTGAATTCCCGCCACACTAGCCTACTCGGCATTCTTCGGGTCAATCTCCATCGCAGTAGCATAGTCGGCCAAAGCCTTATCGTACTCACCCAAACAACAGTAAGTATTCCCCCTGATCAGAAACTCATACCATCCCTCTACCACTTCACGATCCTAGCAATTTCGTGGCGCAGTGACACGCGCTACCTGTTAAAGCACGTGTTGTGATCGTGTGGGTTGAGTTCCAAACTCATGATGAAGTCCTCAATCGCCTTCTCGTACTCTCCCAGATGATGCCGTACCAGCCCTCTGTGATTCAAGTACCTCGTAGGAAGAACCCTTTCGATAATTTCGTGGCGCGTGACATAATTCAATCACACCACAGCTCGAAATAATTCCTAGTCGTTTCTGCGGAAGGATCCAACGCCATACACGCAGATATTTCATACCATAACTTCGCCACATCACCAAGCTGCACCCACCTAGCATTCCTCATGCCTTCCTCAAGTGTAGAACAGCCACTGACCGCCTTAGTGAAAGCTGCTAATGCCTCGTTGTAGTCCCGCGCAAGGAACTGAATAACCATCACCATACCACACCTCCCTCAACACGTTCACAACAGAATAAACGCACCCTGTGAACAACCATGATTTAACGAACTAAAGGCATAATACACAATCTTCTCTACAGCTCCTCATTAATTATCGATAAATGCATAAGAACCCATACCACACCTACCCCGGCACATTCACAACAGCATAGATACACCTTTTAAAACAACCATACATCGACAAATTAAAGACATAAGTAAAAACACGCTGAATAAATCCACAGCATATTCTCCACAACTCTTCGTTATTCATCATTCTTTACCGATTAATAATTAACAACCCATACCACACCTTCCCCACATCCCCCTCCCGCATACCAAAGACAATCCCAGATGGTCATGTGCATCCGTGTCAGCTTCGTTCAGCTCCACCGCTTTCTTCAAATCTTCCACACTTCCATTAACATCCTATAATTTTTAAACACTTTTCAATGGAGTCTCACCCTAGTGATATGAAAAACACTAGTGAAAAGAGATTTCGCAAACCACTGCGTATCACCACGAATATCGCCTTTTTCACACAGTACTACGCCACTTCACGTAAAACGGGTCGTGAAACTCCAATATACCAACGAAATGTGACGCAGCGCCCAACTAGAAATTCCATCAAAAAACTAACGTTTCCTCATTTGCGGAATAACGACTCACCATCACACGCGTTGAGGAAATCCAAGATTTGCAAGATTACCAAGATGCCATCCCCCTCACCTTATTATGACGCCGACTGATTCCTCTACAGAGATATGCCTTAAATGGACTACTGCATTCCCTCGACAAGGCCGTGGTGAAGTCACGAGCTGCCGAGATGTAATCGCCGATTTCAAAATACACCTGAACATAGGAAACGTATGAATATATTAATCGATTTTTATTTCTATAATGACGTTTCACCCTAGTGATATGAAAAACATTAGTGAAAAACATATTTCACGACAACGGCATATCACCGCGAATATCGCGTTTTTCACCAATACTTACGCCACTTCACGTAAAACCGGTTGTGAATCTCCGATAAATCCAAAGAGGATCTCAACTTTGATGTATTTACAACTAAAATAATAACATCTATAGCTACGATATCATGGATGAAACCAATGTATGATTATAACGCACAGCCTTCATCTTCTACGAGAGGTTGCTTCATCAGACGTTTTGCCCTCCGAAGGCTTCATTGGATGTGGCTGCTTTACAAATCGCCATCGCGAAGCCAACAACAGCAACCCTGCAAATGCTGTCGTCAAACCCGACTAATTATGAACAATGAAATATTTCAATTCCATCAAATAGAAAACCATCAAATTCAACTCTCCATACCGCACCAAACGTAACTGCCCTTCGATTACACCATCACTACCCTTGCCCTGTCGAACACATATCGTCCGCTATCCTTATCATGTCGCATCGCCTCCGTATAATCCCCCAACGCATCAGTCCATCTCTCAAGCCTACCAAAAAACAATTTCCAGAATTTTCCAAACAAAAATTCCCACCTTGAAAAACAATCCCCCCTAGATCCGTAATGCTTAGCCACTGCCGGCTCCAACCGAATCGCCATAGAGAAATCCAAGAGCGCCCTGGGGAGTGATGATGATAATTTCGTGGCGCAGTGACAAAAAATATCTATCCTTACCGTTGTAGCATATCATTGTGAGCGAGAGCCTTCGCTCGAAGTGCATAAAGTATCGCTTTATCCGGTGCCAACTTGATGGCTTCCGTGAGCAAGGCAATACCATGCTCTCGTTCTGACGCGACCGATCTGATTAAAAAACCGTAAAACTCCCGTCTCAACACACCACATGGAATGATGGCCACCCAAACTATCCCTTTAATCCGCTCCGTCACGCGCCACAAAATTCCCTCACACTACTGTTGCAACCAAATATGATCCCATGAATACACCAACCAGGAGAGACCTCCATAAAAGCAAGAACAGCTATCCCTCAACGGCAACTGTCCTCTTCTCATGACATAAGCATTCCCACTACTCTACTCGATTACTCCCACTTCATGCACACTTATACCATAACACTGTAAAATCATTGGAGTCTCACCCTTGATATGAACAAAACACCAGTAAAAAACATATTTCACCATTCACTTCAAGGAAAACAATGAAGTTATCGGTCGCGAAAACGAACACACACCGTAAAAAATTTGCATGGAAACTCACATCACTTCACGTTAAACGGGTGAAACTCCATTGTATATATATAAAAACGTTATTGACGCATCTACCAGTCATGTATCACCTCAAAAGCATACTGTACCATCCACCTAGCCATACCCACTAACAGCCTCTCGGGAGCCCAACAGGTAGAACAGTTCCTCGAGGCAATCCTTACTCTCATAAAAGAGATCAACAACAACTCTCCATACGCTTAGCAAGATTCATCGCACACGGAATATTTCCGGTGACACTTAAAATGAGAGCGATGAACAGCTCCACAACCTCCCCTCCTTAGCTTTGTAAAACGGGGAAAATTTCTCGCTGCAAAAACCATATATTTTCCGACAAAAAGTTCCCCAACACGAAGCGATTTCCTCATTCACAATAACCCCAAAGAGCTCCTCTAAATTCCCCCATCCTCACTACCCCTTCAGTAACGGCGTGGCAGCCCTACACAGCTCCAACGCCTTTTTATATGCTTTCCTTGCTTTCATCGAGCCAGGCACGTACTGGAGGATACTCGTCGGTTTCGACATGTCATGCGAAAGTAAAATCTCTAAAATTCATCGAATCAAATTGGAGGGAAAATTTCGAATACGTCTTCATGAAAAAAACACAACCTCATCGAGAAATCAATACCAAATTTGATTTTTGTTAATTTTCATTGGAGTTTCACCACCCTAGTGATATGAAAAACACTAGTGAAAAATATACTCCACGACTACTGATATCACCGCGAATATCGCCTTTTTCACCGAGTTTTACACCACTTCACGTAAAACGGATGAAACTCTAATACCTCGACAGGAACACCTTGGTGAAAGCAATCCAAGCCAAGCCAACGAGTTCTGGAAATTATGGTATGAACTGTCCCCATCATGACCAACACAACATCCAATGTTTAATAAAAGTACCGAAACGCACTCCCCCACAATGACGCCAGTTTTACTTTTTTTCTATCAAATTCACTCGAGCCTTCCTCAGCACATCACTCTCCATCTTCCACCCGTTTCTCACTACTCCGTCAACTATCGCCTCCTCCCCTTTCTTCACTTCCTTTATCGCACTTTCAGGACTAATTTCATGGCGCGCGACATCAAACTTCTCCCCCTTGTCCACAGAAAACGACTCTATTTGGTATTTCTGCAGCAATACACTTCTCACGAGGAAGTCCCTCGCAATGGAAACTCCTTCAGCAACGCTCTTCAGCTTTTCCGAAGCCTCAGCTTTACTCGATAACTGATCGGCGAGTTGGCCCGCCTCGTTCATCTTATCAGCGACATCCACTAAACTCGATGCGAATACCCTCACGTGCCTGAGGGGAATTCCATATGGTCACTCACGGGGAAAGAAGGGGGACGTTCGAACAACACTGTAGAGCCTCGCAGCAAACATCTTGCGATCACAGATAGCATACACGTCCATCGAAAATATCGCGTGAAAACACCAAGTAAGTTCACAACTAGAAATGTAAGGAACCTGTATCGCACCGAGAAGCTATCCTTCTCCGAAAGAGCACTACTGAGGTTTACCAATTTCATACGCAAATTCATACAGAATAAGTTCACCAAAATTATATTCCTATCACTAACAACATCAGTTCAGCAATTTCTGTAGATAAAGTCGCCTACTTGCACTACTCCACTATGAAGTTCACTAAAGTGGAGTATGAGCTCCCCTCAAGACTTACTTTTTCTCAGCATCCCTAATCAGCTTTTCCCTCTCCCTTCTATGATTCTCCAAAGATGCATACTTCAACAAGAGGTCGTGTTGTGCCTTCTTCAGCTTCTCCTCGTGCTTCTTGAGAGCGGCCTCCGCCTTGGCGAGGTTGGCAAAGGGGAGAGCAGCAGAAGCGGCCTTGGAAGCGGCGGCGGTCGTGGTGAAGAAACGAGAGACGAACGAGGTGGTGGTGTTAGCAAGCATTTACCGGAAACTGCACGCACGTAGAGTGGGGTGGATTCACAATGTAGTACTAAAGATCCTAAGAAGTAAGTAAGAACTGACAAGTAGATCCTAAGTAGATCACAAGGATCCTACCAGAGGAGTACTACTACTACTACTACTGCTGCTACTGATGTAAACATTCTATGAACATGTGACGATAACAGCCTCCCGAGAATGTGATAGCGACAAGTTGTTCATTATCATCACAGAGATTTCCGAGATACGCCCTAGTACACCACGCAAGTGAGAGCCCACGAGGTGAGGAGGCCATATAGTAAATTCAAATAGGAACGAATCACACCTTTGCCTCGCTGTAATTCCACAGGTGTTTCAATAAACTGTGATATCCGAGGAAAAGAGATTAATTTCGAGGTGCCTCGGGGAACTACCTTTACTAAACCGGATGAGACAGACCTCAAAATTGCCGACAAAGTCTTGTTTTTCTTCTGCATATGAGCGGAACTAATTTTAGTTTCGCGCTCGCCCCGTTTTTCTCTCGCGCGCGCGCCCATAATCTGTAAAATTATGCGGTGAGGAAATGTGTCAAAGTTAAATCCTCCGGGCTCTGTTCATTTGTTGTGATGATGAACGTTTCACTTGTGACTCGTATAGTCTACCGTGTATGATTCTGTTTCCCTCGAAAAATACTTCCTCCTCCTCCTCATCAGAAGTTGGAACTTTTGCCGTATGTCTCTCGGTTGGTTAACGGAATCATCGTTGATCCCCAAGAAGGCCGAGAGAGTTGATCTCTCGAAAGCCTATGGGGGATCTGCTAAACATGATATCAACGTACTCAAGGTAGCATTGGAAGGGAGGGGGGGTAGCGTATAGGAGACTCCTTTTTGGTGAGGGACATCCTTACTAGTAGTGTTATGATGATTTTTACACCTAATACTATTTACACTATTTACATACTTATTTTATTTACTTCCTGTCACTTTAGTTCTAGTAGTGTTACATGCCTGGCATCGTTTTGAATACTATCAGCTCTATCTTGATCGAGATATGTGTATTTGATTTCTACTACAATATTGGGTCTCCAACGACTGTAGGTTGAGGTGAATTAGATGTCTATTTCGGGGTAGTAGGGGTTGACGAGCGATATACAGAGCGCCCATGAAGAAAATGTAAAATCTGAAATTCAAAAACATACCATTGGAAAGTGCTTGCCAAGATCTTCCTAGTGATTTATCTCTCACTGGGAAATGCGTTGGGTTCGTTGCAAGCTACAGACAATTGCACATTCCATTGAGGCCATCTTGTAAGAATGAATAAACTCCTCATTGCGGTTTGGGAAAATATGCACATGGTCAACTAAATGTGTAGGTGACATTTGCGGAAATTCTGAGGAAAATTGAGGAAATTCTTATTGGTTTCTGTACATGCACAGTGAAGAAATTCTTGGACTCAGTTGAGGAAAGCAAACATATATTCCAACACTGCCTCACTGCTACTTGCATAGTTAGGACCATCGAAGTTGTTATTTGAATGGTGATGATTTTCTATAGGCTATATTGTCTCCCGAAAGGACATGTTGGGCATGATCTGAATCTTACACGCGTGAACCTTGGATACGTTTCAGGCTATGATCGACGATGGAGAGTCGGATGCGACTGAACGCAAGAGGAAACATGAGAGTGGTAGAGTACGGCCCTTGAAAAAGGAGAGTAGATTAGCCCGACCTCATAGAAGTGATAATAATGATGATGGAGATCGGAGTGAAGATGCTGTGAGGAAGTAGTAGCACGAAGGGACATACAGTGTGCAAGGTCCTACCACGCAAATTCATGCGGAGTTTTTCGCAGTAGTATATGGGAAATATGCGCATGGCCGACTACATAGTGAAGAAATAATGAGGAAAAATCTGCGTTTTTTTGTTGTTTCCTGTACGTTTCTACCATATGCAACATCTCATAGTAAGTGAGGGAGACCAACACAGATTCTAAAACTAGGATGGGGGTCTGTGAATATTGGTCATCATTATTATTTCAATGGTTATACGATCGGATATGGGTGGTGTAAATGATGTGCATGTTTAAGAAAAAATTCTAGAAAAATTCCGGAGAAGAATAAGGAATATTTTACGATTTATCATTCTGGAGTTGACTTTTCCCGTTTCTGAGATGTATGGTCGATATGAATCCACTGTTCAGGAAGCTCGAGGAGAAGGCGAGCTTGTATGAGCAGTTGATGCGGTCAGCCGCAGAAGGTGGTGATGATGATGCTGTTGGTGGCGGTAGACTGGTTAATTTCGGCAATAAAGTGAAGCAGATGGAGATATGGCAGGATGAGGAGGCGGAGAGGTACTGTCGGGGGGGCAACTTTGGTGGTCATCAGCCGTAATCGATGTAGCGTGATGAGTGAATCTAATATCGCATGAATATGTGGAGATTAGAGAAGGTGCTACTGTGGGCGCATCTTCGCACTTATGTGATTGATGAAAGAACTGTACTCGTCTCTTGTGGATGGTTGTATGTTAATCATTGATTTACGTCATTATTGCTCAAATTAGTCTCAGAGTCCTTCCTAACATTGGGTGGTCTCAGGGCATTGGGGATGGAACTGTAATGAGGCGTAGGTGTATTTCCTCAGATCTACATCGTCATCGAAAGAGGAGGACTGTGAGGTGAAGGGGATGGATGGCGGAGTACGGCAAGTATTTGAGAGGTATTATCGGGCTAGGGAGTAGTTTTGGCTGATCATGGGTGAATTCGGGAGAGGTTAGAATGGGAATGCCTCCAGATGTAATCACTATTCTTGAGTTATATTGGTCGTTGGTGAACGTCTCAAGGATGAGCAAAATTTGGCATAGTATTATTCTGAATGATGATGGTCGAGATTTGGGGAAATTATGCGTGTGTTGGGAGGTTTTACCCCGGTAGTTGCCGACTTTGAGTCCCTTGTGGGAGAGAGATTGAATCATGTGGTGTATTTTTAGGACGTACAATCCAGAGGATAGGGATGCGGCTGATGCATTCCACGCTGAGGCAGAAGCTGCACAAGCACGATTGAAGAGAGATGAAGAATGTAAACGGGCATGTGGTAATTTCTCACGACTCCGGACTAATTTACCCATTTTAGTTCCCCGAGCGATGGGCCGTCGAGAAGCGATGAAGCAGCGATTGGCGGCAGCTAGAAAACGTCGGAAAGTTGACGAAAAAGACGATGATAAAAATAACTGAAGTTTTGCAAAGTTGATGGGGAGTGGTGTTAGTCAGTGGATGATTGGTGTGCGTTGAGGAATTGCAAGAGAGCAAGTGGAGGAAAGTGTCAGATGGTATCAGTGGCGAAATTGAAAGCTTCTTGCCTGGAAATTCCCTATATAATTCAATAATGACGAATATGATATGGTTTTCGTACGCACTTTTGGGAGGGACGAACGACCGTTCATCGTCGTAATCAATCGAGAACGCCGGAGTGTGGGTGTTCCAGATTCCAACAAGCAGTCGATTGCGCAATGCGGGTGGGATGGTCGGCCGACCGTATGATGAGGAGGTGGGGTCGGACCGAGTTCCAAGTAGAATTTTCAACGAAGGAAAGTTCTTCAGAGGAACTCAGTTGTATAACGGTGCACCATTGCCTATTGGTTGAATATTGGCTGTGTTGAGAGAAGAGTGGTATTAAGTCCGCACGCATGCGCACCTAAAAAGGTATGGGCGCGATTCGAACCTGCGTCGTCCGGCTAAGATACCGACGACTGTGCTAGAGTCGTGGAAAGCTCACTTGCGACGACCGCTTCTTAGGCTACCAATTTGCCGAGTGTACTATACTATCGTTCACGTCGCGTTATATTACGGCACGTGAAATGTTCACAAGACTCTTGTGTGATGCTGGGAAAGTGCTATTTAGTAGTTGTGCGAGGGAATATGATACCACACCAGACCCAGTGGCCCTTGGATCGCACTACAGTGTCGTGTACTTACTTTAATGTGTTGAGTTCATAAGACGAATTTTCCTTCGTTGAAAATTCTGATTGGAACTCGGAATAACGCCACTTTTGCTCGTGATATTACGACATGTGAAATGTTGCCTGGACTCTTGTGTGTTGCTGGGAAATTGCTATTTAGTAGTTTTGCGTGGGAAGATGATACCACGCCAGACTCAATAACCCTTGGATCGCACTATAGTGTCGTGTACTTACTTTCACATGTTGAGTTCATAAGAGGAATTTCCCTTCGATGAAAAGCTTGAATGGAACTCGGAATAGCATATATTTGCTCGTGATATTGCGACATGTGAAATGTTCAAGATACTCTCGCGTGATGCTGGGAAGCTGCTATTTAGTAGTTGTGCGTGGGAATATAATACCACGCCAGACTCAATAACCCTTGGATCGTACTACAGTGTCGTGTACTTACCTTTTTGTATCGAGTTCATAGGGAGAATTTTCCTTCGTTGAAAATTCTGATTGGAACTCGGAATAACATATATTTGCTCGTAATATTACGACATATGAAATGTTGCCAGGACTCTTGTGTGTTGCTGGGAAATTGCTATTTAGTAGTTGTTCGAGGGAATATGATACCATACCAGACTCAATAACCCTTGGATCGCACTACAGTGTCGTGTACTTACTTTAATGTGTTGAGTTCATAAGAGGAATTTTCCTTCATTGAAAATTCTGATTGGAACTCGGAATAACATATATTTGCTCTTAATACTACGACATGTGAAATGTTGCCAGGACTCTTGTGTGATGCTGGGAAATTGTTATTTCGTAGTTGTGCGAGGGAATATGATACCATACCAGACCCAGTGGCCCTTGGATCGCACTACAGTGTCGTGTACTTACTTTAATGTGTTGAGTTCATAAGAGGAATTTTCCTTCATTGAAAATTCTGATTGGAACTCGGAATAACATATATTTGCTCTTAATACTACGACATGTGAAATGTTGCCAGGACTCTTGTGTGATGCTGGGAAACTGTTATTTCGTAGTTGTGCGTGGAAATATGATACCATACCAGACTCAATAATCCTTGGATCGCACTACAGTGTCGTGTACTTACTTTAATGTGTTGAGTTCATAAGAGGAATTTTCCTTCATTGAAAATTCTGATTGGAACTCGGAATAACATATATTTGCTCGTAATATTACGACATGTGAAATGTTGCCAGGACTCTTGTGTGATGCTGGGAAATTTTTATTTCGTAGTTGTGCGAGGGAATATGATACCATACCAGACTCAAAAGCTCTTGGATCGCACTACAGTGTCGTTTTATTACTTCAATGAGTCGAGTTCATAAGAGGAATTTTGCTTTGTTGAAAATCTTGTTTGGAACTCGGAATAACATATATTTGCTCGTAATATTACGACATATGAAATGTTGCCAGGACTCTTGTGTGTTGCTGGGAAATTGCTATTTAGTAGTTGTGCGTGGGAATATGATACCACGCCAGACTCAATAACCCTTGGATCGCACTACAGTGTCGTGTACTTACTTTCATATGTTGAGTTCATACGAGGAATTTTCCTTCATTGAAAATTCTGATTGGATCTCGGAGTAACAAATATTTGCTCGTGATATTACGACATGTGAAATGTTCAATGGAGGGCCATTCATGGAGCAAGGTCAATGACGACTGAGACCGTTCATGTAGAGGGGGGACAGTTAGAGTTCACAAAGAGTGCTAGATTAGCTTGGGCAAGGCGATCATCCAAGCGTTAATTGAACGTCATGATGCAGTGTGGAAAAATATTCGCATGCTCACCAACATGTGTTGGTGCCGATATGAAAATTCTGAGGAAATTTTGGGGAATTCTTGTTGGTTTTTGAGTATTTCTACCCGGAATCATGTGCAAACTACTGTAGTAAGTGAGGAAACTACTGAACTCAGCTGAGGAAAGCGAACATATATTACAACACTGTCATGATGTAGTAATTCCCGCGTGGAATACCTACTCAGCGCGATGCATTAGAGGAGGAACCATAATGCCCTTTTTGAGGATCGACTACTAGCAAACAGGAATTGTTGGCGTCAACGCCTATATGTGGGACAGCGACGCTTTGGCCTTGAAGATGTTACTTTGCATTCCTAGAGAATCTCGTCGGCTGCTTCAGCAAGACATCGGCATTTTGATTCGACGGAGTCAGTGACTCTGTGAAAACAAGTGATACTTGTTTTCACGATACCGTACTGAGCGGACTATCCATTGCGCTCACGAGGCTGAGAAGGGGAAGGAAGTACGGCGAGTTGGAGTTTGGAAACGTCCCCACATTGCTCATGCGAGACGCGTGCCAAATGGGCCACGTGGAGGGATGCTACTCATTCAAGAGGAGTCTGATGCTTATTCTCTCAAACTCTGAGAGAATGAGTATCGGAGCGACTCTAGAACTCGGAGCTCCTATTTTATAGGGCCAACTCTGCAGTAACGCTTCTAGGAGGGGTCAGCCGATCAAAAGTTCCTATTGAACTGCTCCAGAAGTTTGCCAGTGTTTGAGTATGACTACTCTTAGTGATACGGAAGAAGGTTTCTGAGAGAAGATACCTACTGGAGAACATGTCATGTGATTGTTGACGATTTGGTGGTCACAGCATCATCGAAAACTGCTAGCAACAACGCAATACGCTATGATCAGAAGAACCATGCAGCGATCATGACTTGATTGAATTACATAAGAAAGAGTCAAAAAACAAACGATAACAATGATAATGAATGAATTTCACTGTTGACCAGAGCCGCTGCACCCCCGCCGACGACGACGATGACCTCGAGCGATCAATGGTAAGCTGTGAACGAGCTCGGTGCAGCTTGGATGTGATCTGAAAAAGGAGCGGTATGAAAAACAATACACGCAACAGGCAAACTGATGGGAAAATACTTCGCACCACTTTCTCGAAGGGATCCCACAAACAACAACTTACCTTCGAATGATCCATCCGACATCGTGATCGATCTGGACGGCATTGCGCCACAACTTATAGACGTGAAAGCTGTATCTTCGTCTGCTCTCGAGCTTGCTATTTCGCCCGCCTTGCCCAACTCGAAATCCCTCGGCATACCAGTACGCCTGTACTCCTTAACAATCTTGAAAATGACACAACAGCCAACAGCTGTTCCCAGAGTCGAGGCCGTCAATATAACACACAAGAGAATGGTAAATGTTGACTTCTTCATAGCAGTGTTTCCTTCTGGGAATGGGGAATGCTCATTAGAACTATCAGCACCGAACTCCAGCAGGCTCGGCATAGAATGACCAACGGATACACCAGGACCCAAAGCGAGGCGCACAGCCCTCAAAAAAGACTCTTGATCGACGAGCATCTCCGTCATCAGTCGCGGGGTTGTGTTATTAACTTCAACTTTTATCTCAACACTTAACCGTATTGCCACTTCGGGGTCCACCAGTCGTGTTCGAAAGAAGGTCTTCACCGCCACCAACAAAGGAGCTTCCATTATAGAAGGTCTCCATTGCGGCAACACCTCCAAGTAAATAGTCGCCGTAATAGTGGTGAGGAAGTCTGGGTTCATCGTCAGGGGTTTTGATGGGTCCAATACCTCGATAACCGGTACCTATCAATTATAATCGTAAGCTTGTGAGAGAATAATACGATTGTGCGCTGCGAACTGACGGCAAGATATCGATAAGCTGAAGCTGAACCAAGTGTGTTGTGGCTCGAGCATGAATAGTCGTGTTCTTATCCAAACTTCCCACCTTAGCAGGATTCATAAGCCCTCCTTCTGTGAGCAGGTTAATTTCGCTGTCGAGGCCGCTAAGGTTATATCGAATAACGTCCAGCACTGCTTGAGCCTCGTTGAGATCTTCTACTTGGAATTGAACTGATCCCTCATAACGTAATGGCTTTGGTTGCTCCAAGAGACGTCTACCACCATGCTCGCCACAAAGGTGACTACAGTCGCACAACCTGTACCTATCTAGTGCAGTATAGGGAAACATACACATCGTCAACTAAATACTGAAAATTGTGAGGAAATTTTGGGAAATTCTTATTGGTTTCTGTACATTTTCTTCACGGTAGAGATTTTCATAAGCTCAGCGGAGAATAGCAAATATATATTCCATGACGGGTTTAGCGTCGGCAGCAAGGTAAAACTCCATTTTCGCTACGCCCACTCACCCGCATTGAGCAAGCAGGCCATGTTGGCATATTTTAGGCTGCCCCACAGCAACGTTACATTTACACCAGCTTCCAACGCCACATACCGAAACGCAGTATCTTAGCTTCTCGAACGGCGTCGATACAATACCAATATTCCCTACCGATTCGCCTCATCCTCAGTGCCTTGTAAAACCTCATCCAACGCCTTCCCTCTCGCCAAAGTCGGACACGTCATCGTAACTGGCTTAACCCAGGGGCTCGGCGCGCCTGCAGTTGTCCTCTCGACAGCCCGAGTCGTATCTTCACAAAGCGACATACACATTTTCGATAACTCACACAGAGCCGCACCTGCGGTCCTCGTAGTGGACACAACACTAGTAGATGTCACCTAAGTAACCTATCACTCACGCCTAGAGCCATGCAGCTCCTACCACCCTAGTCGTTGAAGATGAGGCGGTACGATCTGTCGTTGGTGTTGATGATACCCAAGACTGGGGTGCTGTGGTAGGCGTTGTTATTGTGACTAGTTGGATGCAACTCAACAACCCGACCCTATCGAGAGGTAGATTAGTCCACGCACCCAAGGCTCTCTGCAAGAAGATCTGAAACATGTCCGAAAACAGCCCATCTCGACAGACCTGCTAATCTTACCTCACCATTGCTGCCACACAAACTACCGTCAACACCATCGACCAACACAATCGACAGAGACACGTCGAGGTACATCCGAACGACCTAGTAGCGGAAATCTCAATCAGGTTAAGTATATGAGTACCCTAGCAGGAGAGGCTAGCTCGGCTAAGTGGAGGAAAGAGACGACGAGGCAGCTAAGGAGGCCGACGGATGTCTTGGCCATCAAACATCGTGGTATCTTTAGGTTGATGCTGGTAAGATACAGATCAGGTCCAACCCATACTATTCGAATCCAGCTCATACACATATGAGCGTAGGGCTGCACATCACATATCCATACCATTCCTTTCCAAACTCGTACACAACAATCACACAGCACCAACATTCACATCATCATAACACCACCTCACTTATCGAGTTAGTGACCAGACGATCCCCCAACACCCAACTGATGCGAGTCGATGCCCATAAACAGTCCTATCCATGATGATGACGATCGGTAGAGTCGCCTCCTTACCAAGAAAAATCGCCCACGAGTGTCCCCACTGAAATTCCCAATCGTAAGCCCTCGCGTTGGAGTAACTTGCCTTCCTTAGCTTCTACTCAAACAAAACATTCAACACAATTCGGCATTCAAACGTCACCGCGCCACGAAATTCCCGAAAATGTATTGACAACAACAACAGACAAAATAAAACTCCACTGGAAACGTGACTATTTCTATCGTAGTTTCTTCAGCCTATCTTCGAGTGTATCAATTTCATCGACAGTGAGCTCGTCAACTTTCGTGCCCGGAAAATAATTCTCGATATCAGCCACCAACTCCAGCTCTCCTTCTGATACCAGATTAACCGCAATACCTTTACGGCCAAATCTACCTGTCCCTAAAGAGGAAAAAATAAAATTTCGCGGAAATTTTCCGAATTTTTCCCCAATCAACTTACTCCCGATCCGATGCAAATACGTCTCGTAATTGCATTTCCCATTATTAGGTCCGTCAGAATAATCAATCGGCAACTCAAAATTGACCACCAACGTGACAGCAGGCACGTCTATTCCTCTAGCTAGAACATCAGTCGCTATCAAAACCTGCCAGGAGTAAACCCTCTGTCCATGACCGCGCGCCACGAAATTACCTTCGTGACCTTATTGCGGAATTCGTCCATAATCTTATCACGATACTCCGGACTGATTTGCTCCGCTCCGCTCATTTGAGTGCCACATATCAACGACACTGAATGCCCTTCATCACGCAGTAACTTGGCCAGACTAAAACAATGCAGCGAACAGTGTTGGAGGAAAACATGTTCGTTTTCCTCAGCTGAGCTTAGGAGTTTCCCCACTAATCATACAAGTTCACATCCGAGCCTGGGTATAAGTAGACAATAATCAATGGAAATTTTCCAATTTTTTTTCAAAATTTCCGTATCGTCACCAACATATGTGGTTGACCATATGCCCCTTTTCCCACACTGGAGTCGATGCCAACTCTATGGTGACCCCACGACCTCACTTGAAAGCAGTAACTCTCGAATTGACGAAGATGATCGATTGGGAGACGTTCATGGCTGCATATAGATCAGAAAGGATCTGAACGGAATAACTGGAGAAAATTTGTAATGACAAAAAATAAAAATGGTGATGAGGAAATTTTTTCTCGGGAAATTTTAGGAAAATGCAGGATTATCTGATAGTCGTATTGAATATCTTTATCGCACAGCCCGGGCAAAAGGTGCAGAATAATTTCGTGGCGCAGTGACGAAAAGAATTGCCCACCTACCTGAACCTTATTTTGGAAGTTCTTTCCAGTGTTAATGAACGTTTGCCAAATAGTACTCAAAGTGAGGTCCTCCTTGCTGACCTAGTTCAACATAAGATACGCAAAATCGATCGCGTGATCGATTTTGTATCTCACCTGTATCTTGCTAGCATGAGGTACCAAGTTGAGGGCGAATCGACGCACATTCTCTGGATATGTCGCACTAAAGGCACCAAAAACGTCACGCGCCACAAAATTAATAATCAGAAGTGATCGATAGGACACAATATATCACCTAAAGAGTAAAATTTGAAGGTCGTGTTTGGGCAGCACAGATCTGATATTGTTCACAGCGGCTCCCATATTGTTATGTACCTGCGTTAATATTCCAATACAGTGAGCAGAAGTGAGAGTAAAACAGTTATAGAAAAAATCGATCAACCACTGTGTCAATTCTTACATATTTCAAGACTAGTGTAAAGGTAGAATATCAACTAAGTGGAAAATAAGGAAATTGCATTGTAGTATCAACAGTAAGCACTCCATCATAGACTCTTACAGGGGGCAGCACTAGTAACATTGCCTACACCATAACCACTGAACAAAAGAGAGAAAAACGCCGGATCTCGCCTTCGAATCTACCGATGCGAGAACTATGAACCATCCACGACCAGTAGTACTCTTGGGAGCGACGCCTATATCATAGCATTGAGTACCAATTTTCTTCAAGACATAATAAGGACCAGTGGCCTTAGGGCTCGTTACACGGAGAAAGATGTGTCTCAAATCACTTCACATGAAATACTAAATTATAAAAATATTAAATATGATATACCATAATTTTATCACAAAAAAACAGAGGTGGAATTGTTTACAGAATATAATACGCCAATTATTCAAGGAGCAGACGATTGATGCAAGCGATGAATGCGATTATAAAAAATGGGTGAAAAATTCCGTATCCTTCCAACGATTACCTGTATCATAGTGTCCGCCTCATCCAAAACAAACATGCTCACATTACGAGTATCAATTACTCGCTTAGTAATCAGATCCAAAACCTTCCCTGGAGTTCCCGACAATATCTGAAGCAGAATATCGGGCATGATCCGTATCTTACCAAAGTCAACCTCGGATACTCCCCCAATCCACACATCGCTCTTACCTGTTGGGTAACTCGTCCTTCCCGAGGATTCCTCGGTAGTCCATGAGCATTAGGAACAACCAGCTGCGTTGTAACACCTGAGATATATCTCCAACGATTATCGGTCCTGCGCGAAATATTCCGTCCTGCACCGAGCTATATCAACTATCCATATCAACGATTATGATCGCGTAAAAACGTCCCACTTTCCGTACCAGTGTATTTCCCCAACGCTTCGACAACATCCAGATTCTGTATAGCAAGCTCTCTGGTCGGCGAGAGGATCAACGCTTGGAAAGTCTTCAACCTGATACTTCACTCCTACCACCCAGCGTCACGCGCCACGAAATTACCCCAAGCTTATTCGACTGAGCAAACCCAGAGCGAAAGTAGCCGTCTTCCCACTACCGTTCTGAGCCTGGCCGATGATATTACGACCATCTTGAATTAAAGGGAGGACCAATTCCTGAAGGAGCAAAAACTTTACTCAACGATTAAACACTTGTGAAAATTTTCCCCCTCATAAAACGTTGGTGATATCCAAAAATTGCAGAAATCTCGGCAAACTCAGTCATTCAAAGACCCAATGCACTTCATACCATTAATAAAAAAACCATTAAATTCTTTTGAGATTTTTTTTCTGAAAAATTTCCAGAAAAAAATTCCCCAATATTACCTGAATTTTGCTAGGTTTGATGAAGCCCTTCTCCAAAATACCCCTCCTGAGTTCATTTGTCATATCCAAATCTTCCCATCGATGAGCACTAGCCAACGCTCGGGTGGTTGCTGTCGGCACGGCTTGACTCCGAGGAGAGGCCTCTGGGTTGGTGTACTCAGTAACGGTTACCTAAAAAAGGAACATAACGTGAAACTAACAAGAGTTTATATAACTAGACGAGGAAATTGTTCACTGTGGAAATCGATTTTCGAATCCGAGGATGTTGTATTATAGCTGAGGACACCCGTAATTAGAAGGAAACAGTGGAGAAACAGATGTAGAAGTTATTACGGTTTACTCCTACTAGGAGTAAAAACATATAATTTTCCAGATGCAAATTCAATATCGAGTTCCACATAGTCACCACTCGAACATTGACACTATCATCATAAAACTACTCCGAAGTGAAAAATTACTTTCTATGGTAAATTCTGATTTAATGCATAACCCAACTACCTTAGCCGTCTCCTCCCCCACCAGCCCCGATACAGGGATAGCTTCCTTTATCACGTCATTAGTATTACCATTGCTTGGCTTCGCCATAGAATCTCCTTCTGATAAACGACTTTTCAATAGGAGCCAGTATTGATATTACCCCTCATGAATTTGACGACCTCCGCGGTCAGTTTGGATTCTGACGAGGAATCTTTCGAGCTCATTGAGGACGATAAGAAGAAGATACTTCAAAGTGACAGACAACTTCGCATCAGGGCGTGCGCGGTTCTTTCGACTTTACGGATATTTGAAAAATTGTGGTACGAAGAAGAGTCCACTGAAATTTCTCAACTTCTCTTTTGCATCATAGTAAATCACTTCGGAACGAAAAAACATTTTTTCACTTTTCCGATTTTTCAGAATCATCGTAATACCTTCAGAAGACACACATAAAGTCCGGTTGGAGAGGAAATATACACATGGTCAACTACATGTGTTGGTGACAATATGAAAATTCTGAGGAAATTTCCGGAAATTCTGGTTGGCTTCTACCCGAATTTGTATATAAACTTTTTAATTAGTGTCCCTGATAAAATAAAACTCTTGAAAAAAATGAAAATAAAATGTAAATGAAATGAAAATGAAATGAAATAAAATGAAACTCCTGATAAAATCTGCTGATTGAATTTTGTAGCATGAAGACTTCGTGAAAACAACAACATTGCTATATCGTAGACGCGATTAACAACAGAGCAATGTCCACGGAAAATTCATAGGGAAATTCGGCCGAACTCAATCTCGTTCACCGGTCCAGTAGCAGTGTTGGAAGAATATATGTTGGCTTTCCTCATCAGCTGAGCTCAGGAGTTTGTTTCGTCACTAATTGTACAAGTTTACAAGTGATTCGTATACAGAATTTTCAATTTTCATATTGTCACCAACACATGTAATTGATCATATGAATATTCTCCAACACTGTTTAATATTCATCATCATAATTCTCATCCTCTCAGTGGTTGCTTACTGCCTTTTCCGTGCTACCTAAACCCATGTCCGGTGCCTCGGCTGTTTTCATATTGGATTTGAAGGGTAAGGCTATTATATGGAGAAACTATCGCGGAGAGGTAGTAGTAGTAGTAGTCGGCAACTTGTGATGAAAAAACCGGAAAATTCCTGATGATGATGTTGGTAGAATTGTGGTGAGAATTTCTCAATTTCTCGACTTGTGAATAGTGATGGAAAATATTCTCAACATCGCAACTTGTTGATTCTGTACAGAAACGTATGAAGTTACCGGGGGGGGGATTCATTTTCAATTTTCCACCTGGCTAGGAGCACATTCTTCGGACGATTTTCAATGTAAAAGTCTCAATGATTTTTCCCATTGTTATCAAAGCCTGGAAAACGTCATTTCCCAAGGCCAGATGTGTCTCTGTTTCTGTATAGGATCGTAGATCTTGGATAATCTTCTACTGGTACCTCTTGGCATTGTAATACTTTTGTATCACATGATTATTCTAAGAATTCGGATAACGCGCACGGTTGTGCCAAGAATACGAAACTGACCCACGAAACTAGGTTTTCAGAATAATACTGTTATAGGGCTATCCTCTCAAGTTTTCAGTGAGGAATTTCCCGCACTAAATAGTTTCGCATACCGTACATCGCTACTTTCTCATTTTTTTGAAGAGAATTTTTCGTAAATTTTCGTGGTTTACGTGTAAAAAAGTGTGATCGATCAACTATGTGTTGCTCATTGCTGCCGGTTTATCCATTCTTATAGCCAAGATTTACATCAGAGCAAAACTCGGAGTGTATTTCCTGCAGGTCCCCCCAACCGTAACTGACCATTTCATCGATAACGTTGTTGATGCAGAAGATGTGTGTGTGAAGGTATAGAAAGCATCCGGTCGGGATCGAACCTGCGTTCTCCGATGGTTGTGGAATTTCACAATCTGGACTGCTGAAAGTTTTCCTAGATTTTTGCATGCGGAATTCTCGAGTGACTTCTGATTTGTTGCAAAATGACCAGTAGTAGTTTTTTTATATTTTTTTCGCGCGCCACGAAATTGATGTCGTTGTAATTTCAGCCGATTTTCGTGGAGGATGGTATCGTCTACTGCTGGATACAGTATAATAATATCTACCTTATGGCGGTCACACAGAGGAATGGCAACGCGATGATGATTTTATCCTATCTATACAAGTTGGCTGAAGTATGTGGGAAAATATGCACAGGGTGAACTACATGTGTTGGTGACAAAATGGAAAATTCCGAGAAAATTTTGGGAGTTTCACTTTAGGCCGGATTTTTGGTATAATTGTATTATTAGTGAGGAAACTTTTATAGTTAGATGAGGTAAGCGAACATATATTCTTCCAACACTGATATTCACTTGAATGAATAGTTTCTATGTTGTATACCTTTTACAATCGGGCGCGTGTGCGGCGCCGCAGTCTGTGGCGGCTGGCTGGAATATGATAACGCTCGAAGAGCGTAATATCGCTGTTCAGTGGCAATTCATGAACTCAACATCATAGTCGTCGATCTCAATACTTCTAGTAACTAGTTGCATCTACTCACCATTAACCGCGGTGATCGCGCAGCGTGCCCCAATGTCATTGCAAGTCTTGGGGAAAAACGCGGAGCGAAGTTCTTTTTTTGTGTTATTGCGAGTCATTTTAGGTTTTGAAGGATTATTTCAAGACGGTTGATGAGGACCATATCAAAGACAACTTCGTTCTTACTTACGAGTTATTGGATGAAATGATGGACAATGGCTATCCGCAGGTATGTTGACAAACTGTGTACAGATTTTTGGGGCGCGCGCGGTATGTCATTGCAGTAGTTTTATACTACTACTATGACTCTTTACTCGCCACATTTCTAGTGGTGTTAGCCTTAGTGGCACCTCTGAATTTTTCTCAGAATTTTACTGTAAAATTTGGAAAAAAAATAAATTTTTCTGTATCAGTTCGAGGCGGTGTTTCCTTCAGACTACCGAGACTAAAATTCTTCGGGAATACATCAAAACGGAATATAAGAAAGTCAAAGTCGATAAAATGAAAGCTCCACCAACAGCAGCGACAAGCGCAGTGAGTTGGAGGCCTGAAGGCATTAAGGTTAGCGCTCGCCCGAGTGATCGATTTGCATCTCGGCCTTTCGCAGCATAAGAAGAACGAAATTTTCCTCGATGTGATCGAAAAGTTGAATTTATTGGTAGCAGCGAATGGACAAGTTCTTCGGTGAGCAAAAAAAAGTGTTTTGGAGTGACCGAATGAAAACTTCGCTCCGCCCTTTTTTCAGGTCGGAGATTTTGGGATCGTTGAAAATGAAATCGTTTCTTTCGGGAATGCCAGAATGCAAGCTCGGATTGAACGACAAGTTGCTAGCAGCTGGCGGGTAATATGTCGCGCGCCATGAAATTAACAAATGAATTCTCGTCAGGACGGCCGGATCGAGCCGAGGGGGGAAAGGTGTCGAAATGGAAGACATCAAGTTTCACCAATGTGTTCGACTCAGGTGATTTTTGAGATTCGTGAATCGCTTCGCTCCGCTGCAATATTTGTATTAATATTCCCTTCAGTCGTTTTGAACAGGATAGGACAATATCATTCATCCCACCCGATGGCGAGTTCGAACTCATGAGGTGTGTCTATGAGGTTTTGATGAATTATTATTGGGCGCGCGCTTTTTCAGTTACCGATTGAACACTCCAGTTAAGCCGCTGATTACAGTAGAGGCGGTGGTGGATCCAAGCCAGTCGGGAAGGCGACTGGAAGTGATGATTAAAGTCAAAAGCCAGTTTAAAAGCAGGTGGGAAACGCGGGGTAATTTGTCACGCGCCACGAAATTCCTGGCAGGTCAATAGCAAATTCTGTTGAGATTCATGTTCCTGTACCCGGTGATGTTGACACTCCTCAATGCAAGGCTAGCACAGGTTAGAAAATATATATCTTAGCGGAGCGAAGTGATTCATATTTGGTATTTTTAGGTTCGGTCAAGTACCACCCGGAGAAGGACTGTGTGACCTGGTCGATTAAACAGTTCCCTGGTCAGAAGGATTACATTATGACGTCGAACTTTGGATTGCCCAGTATTTCTATGGAAGCCGCGAGGTGGGGTCCGACGCGTTTCTGGTTATGCATTCGGATAGGTCATCCGTTACTAAGCCGAAAACAGTCTTATTGAGTGCCACCATCCGCGTTGCTCGAAGCTTTGTTCATCATAGGCTTATCGTTTGATATTGTGGAGATAGGAATCTTAGTTAATTCATCCGAACACTGGAGGAAGTTAGTGGGAGAATCTAGAGGAATAGATAAGAAATAAGATCCAGAACGAATGTGTTAGGTTGCTTCTCGAGAACTCATAATTTGCGCTATCGTGAACGCTCATGTGAACTCAGTGAAAGGGGTGAATGAAGAGCTCAATCGAATCGGGATAGAAGGCTATGTGCATAACAATGTCTTCTTTACAATTTAGGAAGTCCACCGTTGCTGAGAATTCAAATAGACTTTCATCCTATCCTTTCCAATTTTTCAGGGATCTCTACGCAAAGAAGCCGATTTCAGTGAAGTTTGAGATACCTTATTTCACCGTCAGTGGCCTTACTGTGAGGTATCTGAAAATTGTGGAGAAGTCGGGGTAAGACTGTCGGGTTCTCTCCAGTGTTGAGGTGGTGTAGCGAGTGGAACTTGAGGGACGTAGCGACCCGCATAGATCATAGCCGTTGAGACCCTTTACTACTGAGTCGAAGTTCATCGAAGAAATCCGGATTGTGGAGCTCTGGTATTTAGTACTCGTACTTCGGTCCATTTATAATAGCACGAACAGTGTGAGAGAATATGCACCTTTTCAACTACATGATGACATTATGAGAATTATGAGGAAATTGTGGGAGATTCTTTCCGGTTTCTGCTCACTATACCCCAATTCGTATATTCGTATGCAGCCTTCCAGAATTACTTTGAAGTTCAGCTGAGGAAAGCCAACTCGTACGCCGACACTGATCACGAGTGCATCTTGTCATCAGATACCAAGCACTTCCATGGGTTCGGTATATCACTCAAAGCGGCGACTATCAGCTGAGAATGACCTGAGCTGTTTGTTAGACCCAGCTGATGACGGTGGTGTAACTTTGCTACATTTATAGTAGTGTGTTTTCTTTCAACTATAGTATTGTGGAGTTGGTCAGTGACCATGAACTGGTAATTTCGAAGGACCGTTCTAAACCATGAGCATTAATATTAGTTATGCAGTTGGCTTTTTACGAATTACCGATTGAATTCTGGAAGAACCATTTTCATTTGAGACTTTCTGTAAACACCACACCAGCCCCGTGCAAACTTATGGAGCTCTAGAAACTCTCGGAGTATTAGTTTCTACCATTACGTTTGTTGTGTGATTCGGAGTAGATATTCTGATAAGAACAACACAAAAACCACACGTACTTGAGGAACTTGGTTCTCACGCTTCTCACGCTTGAAGTGAAAAGTGTCAAAAAACAACCCATTTTGCATTGTGTAATGAGTGATACGTACTACACTATTATTTTACACAACTTCACTGTGAACTGTAGAGGCACGCATAAGCTGGCACGACTCATTACTATACGGTTCATACTTTGTGTGCCGTTAATGATATTGTCGAATGCAGACGAGTCAAATCATCTCGGCTCATGGTTGACTTACATCGAAAATTTGTGAATACTTGACATATCGTCAACACACAATGCGACCTCTACGAAATCTACGAACTGCCATAGGAGTTGAAAATCTGATAAATTGGTGATGACTCTGTAATCTCGCTCCTTATCCATATCCAAGCTCACTAATCTACACCGCAACGCCTTTGCTTCCCGTGTGTAGAAGATGAGTAACCTTCTCGGATATGAAGTTGGACTGAATGTTCCCCGATCCCTCCTTGCACTTCAAGGAATGGTCCCGACCCTTCAAACTTCGCGGTACGTCAATTGGCTTGGACATATCCATACCGTTGAGGATCGCCTTATTTCTTTTCTGAACATCATCATTATCTCCTCGGGCCATTCTGATTCCCTCAGTCTTCGTCTCGAGAGATTTGACCGATTGGGCATCTCCACGAGCGACTCTTCCTGACCGGGAAACCCACATCGGCCGCAACGAGGGTGAACGTAGTGTGTACAGCTGTCTAGCAACAGGGTCCCAGATGTTGATTGATAGCTGGCCTCGACCTGTGGACGAGGTAGGCAGTTGTGTGGATGAAACTTCAACCCTAAGCGACCTAGGGATTGTGCATGCTATGCTCATAGAGACAGTTACTCTCCTCATCATGGTAACGAAACCACCAAGGGGTTATTGAGAAACATTCCGTTGCTGCTATGGTAACAGTCATTCGAGGTCGAGGCCGAGCTCGTTGAAGACATCTTCCTTCGATAAACTCATCATTTCACCAACCCTCGATACAATAGACATGCACTGAGAGAAACCGTCCGAACAGTCCGCGGGTGAAATCGTTACCAGCTTCCTGCGTTTAGCAAGAGTGTTGTGCAAGTCCCCGTATCTGAGGTAGCAACAGTTCATTCCCTCAGAGAACAATAGAGCATGAATTGTGCTTGGGATGGTAGCTGACTTCGCCTGTGCCTCAGCAAGCTTTTGGCCGAGATCTGACACTCCTTCCTTTTTTCGCTTTCGCTGGATGTGCTCAACTTTCTCCTCCAACTCGCGGACCTACCCCGACTTCTCTCACTATCGTCTACTCCTCACCTTACACGCTTTCTATTATTGGCTACTTTTCCCTCCAGTTCGCCCTGACCACGAAGCTGAGTTATCTCCGCAGTAACTGCCTCCAAAGTCACCGTTAATTTGTTCCTCGCTATACCCCACCTTTGCCGAGAGCCCCTCTCACAGTCGGAAGTCTCTTCTCGACCTCCGCTACCTCGCGGTTCAATTCCAAAACACTTTCTGGCGAGCAGTCACCGAATAGTCTCTGGTTGCACAAGAAGACCTTCTGAGCACCATATCTGGGACCTTCACATTCGTATTGCAGTGCCACTCGCTCTTTACTCCTTCATGACTAGAGGTGGCTCTGCGTCCGAGCCTGGCTCTTTTGACAATTTTTCCATCAGATTTTGCACCTGAGTCTTCGGCACGATGCCATGAAGGTTGTCAAAGACGTTCTGAGCGCTGTATGGTCGATTCTGTTCCTTCATGTACCTTTTTTGTGAGGGAATGGTATCCTGCTTCGCGACGTATATTCTCACGCAGCAATCCTGGCCTCAGCCTCCTGCCCTTGAGGTTTTGTATTATCAGAGGAGCTCTTCGACTTAGGAGCAGCCTTCCTGCATTGCCCAGATACGACAGTAATCGAGATCGTCCATTCCAAATCGCGTCTCACTTTTTCGGTTTCCCTTTAGCCTTCACCGCCTTCTTACACGTAGTCGAGGAGTCAACACACATTTCTCGCTGTCAATAACGCGGTAGACGACGGTTGATGTAACGAACGCAGCACCTCCCAGTATACGGAGAAACAGTTCACGTCGCGTGAAGAGTTGTACTGTGTACGAGCCAACCATGCGGAAGCCAACGCGCGAGTACAACGACATTACTACTATCTGTCTTCATTCTGCCATGCCGCCTTCCATCTCAAGTCACTTGAGTCGAGGGGCCCATAGCTAGTCGACCCTGACTCAGCAACTTTGTTAGCCCTCTTCGTCTGGAAATAGACGATGAAGCTGAGGATACTCATCATGTATACAGAAAGTACGAGCGGGTGGGATTGTACTGCTGGGCCCAACTAGATATGGTGGCCTCCATTGCTTCTCATAGATGTGTTATTACTTGCCAAATGTGTTGTCACGGCACTGCCGTATTATCCTCATTGTGGATGCTTCAATAGAAAGCTCTCACTACTCTAGTAGCTGCAAGTAGAGCATATTACAGCATTTAACCATCCCAAGTTGTTAATGTAGAACTAAACCATGCAACGTGAGATCACCCTCGATAGATGATCAAAAAGCTTTCGTCATCCTGAAGGAATAATCAGGGATTCGCGAAAAGGAGCGGTTCAGGAGAGTGCAGGAAATGGCCTAACGTAGTTCGCGATTATGCCATTCTCTGGAGACTCTAAACCAATATGTGGGTCTCTATGCCAACCTATGGGGTCCCTATGCCAACTTGTGGGGTCCTTAGGCCTACCTGTGGGGTCCCTATGCCAACCTGTGGGTTCCCTATGCCAACCTGTGGGTTCCCTATGCCAACCTGTGGGCTCCCTATGCCAACCTGTGGGGTCCCTATGCCAACCTGTGGGGTCCCTATGCCAACCTGTGGGGTCCCTATGCCAACCTGTAAGATCCTCATGCTAATCTATGGGGTCCCTATACCAATCTATGGCGTCATTTCACCAACCTACGGGGTCGCCGTACCTTCGTACACAGCCATTAGGGCAAGGCCACTAGACCCCTTTTCGAGGATCGGTATTCCAGAGGTCATACGAAGTTGCTTCATCACTACACCATTTCAGGCTCTTCTGGAGGCTCTCCTACACCCCTCTGTGCAGCAGTTATTACAGCTGAGTGTACAATGAGGAGAGGCCAGGTGTATATGATACCTGGCCAACGCACAGGAGGGAAAGAATCATTAGGCGGGTGCCCGAATGAAAAAGTGGAGAACCCGATTAGCCACGTATGAACGCAATACTCATATGATCACCGCCTAACCACTTAGAGAATACTGAATACTTGAAATGCAGTTTATATCAAAAGTGTCACTTGACATGAACAAAATCGTCGGCATCCTTGGTGTCGGAAGAGTGATGTCGCACAGTTATTTCCTTGTACGAAGGAGCTTCACCATCAGAGACTCTTGCTGAGGAGGCCGATCCTCGCGGAACGAACTGAACATGATATATGCATATATATGAGCCAATATTTCATGTTCGATTTCCTTCACATTTACTACACGAACAGAGGTAACGCATTACAGAGTCCATAACAATGACTCACCTCCCAATCTCCTTCCTTTTTTGCAAGCGCTGGGTATTTTTCCTCATACTCCTGCGGGGTCATGCTAGGCCCGGAACTCTCGTCTATTGATTCCCTATCAGATCCTCCTCCATCTCGACTAAGCTTCTGACAAGCAAGTGAATATGATGGGAGTGACTATGGATGAATCTCAATATCTCAGCCTTCATCAGTTCTTACCAAAAGTGCTTCGACTGTGGCCTGTTTATCTAGGTTCAACCCGAGATACAAATCTTGTATTAACTCGGAATCGAAGTTTGAAAACATATCTTTCAACTCATCTAGGTCATTCTTCAACCTAGGACAGCGTCAAATGCACTGAGCCGCCAAGCTTAACGCTTCTGACTTACTTCGTCGCAGCTTCTGCTTGATCCTGATGCTCATCTTCTTGCCTTGCTACTTCGATCTCGGCATCTTCCTCCTGGAGACCTTCGTACATCTTCTGCGAGTCCGCAGCCAGACGTCTGATAAGAACAAGTCTGATACTTTCTGTACGGTTGGAGATATCTCACCCATCATTGGCGCGGTAGTCTTCAACAATATCAGTGTAATTCAATCGAGGTTTCCTCACCTCCTTGCCTCGATCATTTATCTTGTCACCTAGTGAGATTAAAATTGCCGCAAGTCCGTGCTAGCCTCGAGAGATATCACATAACTGGAAGCTAACCCCGCCGACAAGAATCACTAAGTACTACTAAGACTATATGAAGTGCACCAAGTAAGCCACTTAACGATGATGCATGACGAGGCTCTATTCACCATAACAATAGCTCACCCCACAATGAACCTTCCATTTCAATTGCGACTACTACAACGATTTAAGATGATAACAATACCATCACGCTCCCAAATCCTAGGTTACGATTACTATCCTTACCATCAGCTGGGCTTGTTGCTGTCTCGCCAGTCTCTTCACCTTTTGTGGAGTGATGCCCCTCTGGATGTGAAAGCATATCTAATTAGATCGAACTTAAAATACTAAGACGATCAGCTGTCCGTATCTGCCAGTAGCAGTCAACTCAACTTGCTGCTTTTGCAACTTACTAGCGCTGAAAGGGAAAGGCTCCGGGTTCGATCCGAGCACTTGGCAATTTTACTATTTATTTGAATCCACGAGCCACATCTCGCCGTAGCATCACTCTGAAGATAGGCGTTATGCCCCGCAGAGAAAAACCTATCTATCGTCTTTTCATGTTCAATAACGTCGTTTCTTGAAGCTTTTCCGATTTTTCGTGATTTTCGTTTCGGTGAGGTTGTTATCGATGCCACGACTATACCATTGTCTCCGCAGATACCTGCTGACCGGGTCGATGGCATCCTACTTCTGACTAGGGGGACCTATTCGGGAATAACTATAGACATATTTACAAAGGTGAAGGGCGGCGCGTAGAGAGTCTTGTGTTGAGAATAGGGATCCTTCGGAAATTCCTCTCATTGACGCCACTCTGTTTCTGAGGTGTTTCCGAATATGAGTGTGAACCGTTTTAAGCGAGAGAGTTTCGTGTTCCCGATGTCTAGCAAATAGCCTCGTTCATGAGTGCTCATGCCGGTGTATGCTCTAGATGTGGAAGTATCTTTACACTATTACGCACTCGGAAGGTTTTTGCCTACTTCCCCCGATGGCCTTGCTAGCATCTTCGTTGCTATCGAACGTCTTCGGCGCCCCCTGCGAGTTGGACCTCCAAATCAACGCCGAGCCAAGTAGGAAGAAGGCACCAGTTACTCGAGATAAGAAGGGAGATCTTGGATACATTTTCACTGTAGTAGCTGTTGCGCACGCGGAAGATTTTGGGATATTTTTAAATTGACAGGACGGTGAGGACGTATGTGGTACAGCGACTGTCCGTTTAAAGGGTGATAAACGGCTGGAGCATCAAGGCATCAGAGTTGAACTCATTGGGCAAGTGGGTAAGAAAAAGAAAGATATCATGGTCTTGCATCGGACCTATTTTGTATCTTCCTTGCTGCGACCTTAGATATGCTTTACGACCGAACCAGCTCATACGACTTCTTCTCGATCACTAAGGATCTCGAACCCCCAGGAGTCCTCACTGAAACTAGGAGCTATAAGTGGAAGTAATAGCTCTTTTTGGATTCCTGATATGTGATCGAGCGAATTCTGGGCTAACTGCGACCACGAGTACTCGTGCGGCTGAAGCCAGATTTTGATAAATAACTGCTAGATGAATCTGTTATTGATGTTGTAGATTCTCTTCGGTTGATAAGACGTGTGAAACGTATAGTGGTATCAACGTCCGCCTTCGATACTTCGTGCGGTTAGTCGTGCAGAGGCCGTATGCTACGTAATGATGGGGGCAAGGTCGAGGCATGGGGAGCTTGCTATCAGGAATGTCTCAAAAGAAGTTGATTTTGCAGTGCAGTTGGCACAACCACAGCCTGAGATGAACACCGGTATCAAAATGGAGGTAGCTAAAAGTGGTGACACGTGCAGTTCATTTTGTCACATAGGTGGGGATTGAAGATTGCCTTCACATTGAATTTGAGTATTCCCAGTCGAAGTTCAACTTGAAGGACGTTGTCGTTGGAAAGGTGTATTTCCTCCTTGTTAGACTGAAAATCAAGGTAAGTTCATTTTCTGTGGGAGTGGGTATTACTTTAATTTTCCTACAGCACATGGAACTGGACATAATACGTCGAGAAGTTACAGGGGCTGGTGCCGGCTCGAATCAGCTCGGGGGGACGACTGATAACGAGACTGTCACTAAATTCGAGATTATGGATGGATCACCTGTGAGAGGTAATGAAGGTATTCGCTGTTCACATGAAAATTCTGATGAAATTTTGGGAAATTCTTGTTGGTTTCTGAACACTTCTTCGTGAATTCGTATCCGAAATTGTATCGGATCAGCTGTGAAAAGCCTTGAGTATTTTTCCTTCTTCTTTTCAGCTGAATGCATCCCAGTCCGTCTCTACTTGTCCGGATTTGACCTAACTCCCACCTATAAGAATGTTCAGGTGAGTAGTAGGTTGCTTGGGATTCTCGGTCATCATCGGTGGGATTGTTCAGAATAAATTCTCGGTGAGATACTTCCTCAACCTAGTGTTAGTGGACGAGGAGGATCGTCGATACTTCAAACAACAAGAGATCACTTTATGGCGCAAGACCATCGGCTGAAGAAACTGTCATTTTACCCGAGACGGAACCATTGCTTCTCGAGATGCATTTGTTGGGTTCAAAGTGTGACACAATTAGTGTCTCCTTGTGAAAAATCGAGCTGCGTGATCCGTTCCTAAGTACCGACGGAATTGCCGTAGAGTAAATACCACGCGCTCCGCAATTTACTATTCAATGGTAATCTTGACTTCATTCAGCACACAGCGATTACTTAGACGATAGTCGGTAGGGCGTCCTCTCTACTCGTAACTACTGCTAGCGCTTTGCTTAAACGTAACTCTGCTGTCAGTGAACTGCTTCGTGATAAAGAGGTCTCGTGTAGGATTAATACTGATGAGTGATACGCTCAGATGTAGCATGTAACTCGTTAATTAACAGTTTGAATTGACGATAGTAACTGAGATGGATCAAAAGGAGATAAAATTTCTATATATATACACTCTCGACAACTTGGCTTGGCCAACTTGGCAGTCCCCATCTGATTCAGAGTGAACGGAATGAGTAATGGAAAGTTGTACGACTATGTTGACCTTATTGATAGCCCCAAACTCGGGGTGCGCCGACTACTAACTCGAAAAGCTCAGCGGACAACGGCATCGTCATCACAATGCATGACGGGTCGTACACGAATACGAACTGCTGTCGAGCATGCCTCGACAGGTCTCTAGTAGAGAGAGCTTAGACCATCGATATTCATCGACCTTGTTGCGATGGCTGTAGTAGTAAGTAGCACTGAGAAGAGTAATGTGAATCAGCGAGAGAGTCGGAAGTGTGGTGCTCACCGTTATGATGGTGATGATGACAACGGAAGTCTGTGAGGACTATCGCTGTCTATTCTCCCCTAACCGACGTAGCGCAGGTAGAGTCTGATGATAACAAGGTACATGTTGAGATCTTAACGCTACTACTACTTACTGTTGGATGTATGAGGCTTATACTATGGGCAGTGTCGTGCTTGCCGTCATTGTGGGTGTGGATACCCACAGTTGATGGAGGATCTTCGGCAAACACCTTCCCTATATCAGGCGTGTCATCAGGGCTTGTATGTTCAGACGACGGCCAGGGAGTTCCTTGAGGATAAGGAGAATCCCTCCCTCCCTGGAGGTCGCCACGATGTAAAGTCTCGTCATGAGGTTGACCCCGGGTATCAGTATTCACATCGTTTTCCTCAGCCCATGCATGGAGGTAGTTTCTATGACTACCGTTGATAGCAGCATCGACTAAGCCCGGGTGTTGGTTGTGCAATGCCCACAGTTCCGACAACAGTGTTGGATAGTGTACGCCTTGTTCCTCTCCACTGTGATGCCCTAGTAGAGTAAAGATCTCATCTATGACACTCGAAATCCTCTCAGCATCGGCATGAGTGAAATGATGATGTTCTGTGCTGAAAACTTCATGCTGGGCTCTCATTTCTCCCAAGAGCTCCATCAGTCGCGACTCTCGCATTTTAAAGGCTTCCCATGATGATGGTCCTTCCACTTCGTAACGTGATGGAGAAGGCTCTGTTGTTTGTATTGGTAGTTGACCATCGCTCATGTGTGGGTCGCTGGGGAAGAACTTGGCATCACTATTCGCGTGGAAGAGAGGGAAGGTTGGAGAGACGACCTTTTCGGGATGTACTTCTCCTTCGAAATTACCTTCCACATTCGGGTAGAAAGTTAGTCCTATTATGACGTTGAGCATAGTCACCATAGTGGTAGAGAAGGCAGGTGAGATATGTACAAAGAAAATCAATTGAACTTTGCAGAGTTAAGGAAATGCAAGATTTTGCAAGATTGCAAGTTTGACGTTTATTTCGATTTGGAGTTATGCCCCCGGATGGTGATGTCACGCTATGATCTGCCTTGATAATTCACTTAAATGGTTGAGGTGGATGAACGCTTACTTGCGCTTTGTATAGTCTACAATGCCCGAGGTTTATACTTCTGTTTCCATCAAGAAACGCTATGATCTCCCATTCGGGTGTGGTTGAGATAAGAGTGGTATATAGTAGTTGAGGTCCTTTTCTTCATCATCATGCCTACACCAGTCGTTGGGCCGGAGGCTGTAGCACAGGCTATTGTGGATAACAATGATAATAGGACTATGCACAGGTTATAATATCCTTATGGTGGGCTTTTTAGATGAGCTCCATCACTTCTCCCCTCCTCTTAAGAGTACCCGAGGGGATGATGGATGGAATGTCGGAAGGCCTCAGTTTTACCATCCACGCCTCACGTGCCGTTCACTTTTGATTTGTCTCGAATTCGCACAGTTTGAGAAAATATGCACATGGTCAACTACATGTGTTGGTGACACATGGGAGTTTATGGGTAAATTTCGGAGCATTCTCATTCGTCTCTGAAGAGTGAACTCTTGAACTCAGCTGAGGAGAGCGAACATATATTCGAATTTGTGTAGGTCGAATCTTCTCCGATTACAGCTGGAGGAGCTCCTTGCATCCACTACCCCAAACTGGGATAAGCTCAACAAGCTGTCCAAGATGGTTCAGGAGGTAAGTCTGAGCGGGTATAAGGGGAAAAGTGAGCAGAAGCTTTTTCTGCGAAGGTCGGAATATGACATCATAAGTACCCGATGAAATTCTCCCAATGTTTTCACGGATTTTTTCACCTGTTGATGACTATGGAATACTCTTCGGTTCAGTGGCTGAGTTCTTAGGTGATACGCAGTGTTAAGAAAACGCAGAAGAAGGATTTGGGGAGCGACTTCCAGGATGTAGAAACTTGACAATAACAGTCGATGAAGATCTTTCCTTAGGAGTTCCCTGACCTCTATTTCTTCCCGAACTCGCAGCAACATGATTTCGTATATTATCCACCAGAAGAGGTGAAGGTTGTTGGTAGCTACTCGAAGAGAGCATGTGCCAAGCCGAGATTGGTCGTGGATGTTGAGGTAGGATTTGAGAAAGGAGTGGTATGGGAATTGGAATGTGTAGGTTGTAATTCCGGCGAAATGTTTGCAGAGCAAGGACTATCTCAATGGGCGATACCTCAATAAACGTAGGAGGTTTATGGTAGTGAGCGAACTCGGACTCTTCTACTGTTGATAGGAAATGCATATGTGGGGGAGCAGTCGAGGCAATTGGCAGAGATCATGGATGGCTCGAAGGTTGAGCTGAAGATAGGATACTTCTGTGGGGATCGAGCGAAGCCTATCGTTGAGGTGATATCTTAGGTTGCTCTTCGTAAGATTCAGAATAGGTCCGATCGAGGTCATTTCAGATTTGCCCCATCGGATCAACATGGGTGATAAGACTTCTACCAAGTATTGCTGATGGTACTGATCCAACAGCCACCTCTGGTCCCGAGTCCAGCTGGTTGGCCAGACTTGGTTTGGAAAGAAACTGCAACCGTATGGACGGTCACGATAGCGAGCAACCCACGCCACTGTAATGCTCATCGGGTTTACGCGCACGCCGAAGATTCCTAGGGGGTATCTTTTTTAGTTACAACTCGGAGGTTGCAGAAGACATTTGGATGCGTTTGAGCTCCTCGTCGATGGAGACGGGCAGCAGCTCTCATCCATCTTATTCGAAGGCTGTGACGCTGTTGAAGATTTGGGCATATCAGAGAGGATTCCTCTATAGGAGAGATGGGGAGGAAAATGCTGGTTTATCAGGGTAGTAGTAAAATGGTCTGGTGGTCAAGCTTGCTGGTTACGATGCGGGAGGATGTGGGTTCGATACCTGCACCTGTGTGTTTAGATACCATCTTGCTGTGATTATCGATCACGTAATATCGTCCTCGAGATTGCCACATTCCACCAGTGCATACCAAATATTCAAGCTCGCACTTGTAATATGGGGGTAGCCGTATCCGTTAACACGAACTCAGTCAGTTTCGCACCAACCTTCCTCGAGATGTGTTTATCAGGTACTCTTATCCTCCACAGACTGGAAGTCCAACGCCTTGGTTTTGGGTTCTCAGGAGAAGGAGGAGCGCTCGATACCCGATTGGTCTGACTCGGTAAGGCTTCACACGCACTTTGTATAGCAGAAAATAAATCGGCAGAGGAACCACTAGTTAGATAGGATCAGTAACTTTATTGCTTCACCTGCGTAGCGATGTTCCGGTAGTCTAGATTTATTCTCCTTGAATTTCGTGGTTGCCTCGCGGGGTGGCCAATTGCTGGGCTCCATGCCGCTCTATATTGGGCCTAATTGAGTCGTGATGTCGTCAATTGGGAATCGTAGAGCTCGCCATCAGCGGGCGTTGGAGCACGCATGCATGAGCCTCTGGTCAGGCACAACTGTTTTCTGGCTTCGATCGAGCGTATAATATCCTGTGGCGTATTAGTTTGGTCACTATTGATGAGATTGGACTTGCAGCTAAGCAGTCGCTGGAGGTAGAGAGGGGAGTATGGTGTTCGCCCATTGAGATGATTTCAGCTGTTGGATGACCCGAAGGAAGCGGATCCTTTCATGGAGGTATTTGGTGAGAAGTAATAGGAAGAGTTTACTCGGTAACGTGGAAGGTTTCTGTATTTCCAGCTCGGGTAGAAGCCTCCGATTGCGCTGGGATTTTGCTGTAACATTGCCAATGGACGGAACGTTCTTGGCGAGTCGTCAGCTGGAGGGGGAAGTAAATCGATTACTGGGGCGCGCGCTAAATAACCGGATGAAGTCGTTAGCAGTAAGGAGGTCGATAGAGAAGGGAACTATCACCGTTGGAGGTAAGAATGTTATCTGTTAGACCGGTTATGTTGGTCGTTGGGTTAAATTGTTATAATCGATCATCAGGGCGAGCGCTGTTGTTCTGTAGGTATATTGAACAGTGAGAATACCGGTAGGCTACTGGATAAGGGTCCATCACCCAAAGCAGAGGATGCGGAAGCATGGCGTAAGGCGGATCTTGTGCGCAGCGAAGATTTTAGGTTGAGATTGTCAGGCGAGCTGTGGGGGCCGAAGTCTGAGTTGAGACGGTTCAAGGATGGTACCATGCTAGAGTGCTGTGTCTGGAATGGAGCTGATGACGAGTCAGTGGAAGGGCAGATTATTGTAAGGTGTGGTATGTGTTGTATGGATCGGGGAGGTTGACCTTTGCAGAGGCATGTGTTGGAGCACCATGAAGTGTCTTATGAGGAGCTGTATGTGACACCATTGGGCCACATTGCGGGACTGAGACCAGCTGATAGGTTCGGCTTAGGAGGAGCACTTGTTTGTATTCTGATTGGTGTATTAGGAGTCTTTGGCGCAACTTTGAGCTGCTCCGGGATGCTCTACAGGGAATGGAAGATATTCCTCTGGCGATCAAGGATGTGCGTCCAAGTGAGTATGGGATGGGATTCGAACCCGGGTTGTTCGAGTGAAAGGAGTGAATGCTTCCCAGGTGATCCAGCATTCAGCTACACGTCTATCGATCAAGAAGGCTCGAGTATATCCGGCCTCCTAGAGGTTGTCATCGAGTTGGAGTCGAATGCAGCTTGGCCGACCAAAGTAATTATGTGTTCGCGAGCTCGGTAACAGCGACATGATGCACGAACGTGCCCGAGTCGCTTTTCCAGTGGCTATCTGAAAAATTACGACCTTCACATGAACTGGCGATGAATTAGGAAATGTTGTTATATTATCTTATGAATTCACAGCGCAAGTCTGTGGAAATCCGAGAATGCAACCCCATGCGAGAAGGTGGCGGTTTGCAGAACGATCTTAAACACTGCGTTCACACAATTTTGAAAATAGTTATTTCATCTTGCGAGGAAGTCAGACCGGCTCGAGTATGGGAATTTTCAACTTACTCGTGATTTGGCAGTGTTACGACTTATCCACTTTTCTTTGTCAGCCCCAGGCGATCATCGACACTAAACTGGCCTTGCTGTTGAAGATTCAGGAGGGTTTGCTGGTGACGGAGGATTTCTCTGATGTCAATATATCGGCTACGGAAAATCCATCATGACGTACATGTAGAGTCGACGAGTACGTATCGATGCAGAATGTGGCACAGGGAAGAGTAGGTTGGAGGTGCGGGGATCGAACTTGGGTCTCCTGAATGTTGTGTTGACAGGTTGTCCAGCTGGCCACAGCTGCCACTACCACCACTCCAAGCAAGCAAAGGATGAGTGCGAAAATATTTGCTCGGAATTCGCATTGGATGCTCTCAGGTTGGGAGTACTTCTCTCCATTGCGAACTCTGTGGTACCAGCCGACCCATCGGAACTGGATTCACTCGATGACCGCTTTATATCCAGTAAGTGCCGGCTGTGGGATTCGAACCTGCGGTCTCACGATAGTGCTTGTCAGTGTCTAGCGCCGGCTATTCGAGCAGCCAAGCGATGGTTGGACAAACGACTTCTACTCAAAGGAGTTGGCTTGGATAACTTCGCAGAGTTGAGCATGATGTAGAATTGAGGAAATGCAAGTTTCGGCTAGAAGAGCAAGATTTTCATCAGGCATGTGGTGGTGAGCCAAAATCCCCAATCTCCTCACACTGCAGTTCTGCTCTGGTTGAAGCTGATTGAAAATTGGCATTCCAGCGAACGGCCCATGTAAGGTCGCGGGTTCGAATCCCAGCGCTGCCCATTTTCATCGACCGACCTCAGTTACTTGCTGCAGTCGCTGACGCCCGGTGAGGAGAACGAGGAGGATAGTGAGGAGTCTGAACGTCTATTAGAGAAACTGCAAGCTTGTTATGAAGCTGTTCCTATCTCGACCAGACCCAAGATGTGGATCAGCAGTCGCCTTGACCCGCATTGTCTCTTGGTGCGTAAAAATGCCTCTACCAGGATTCGAACCGGGGATCTCCCTTATCAGGTTCGTACTCCGAGCAATGCACTGTGTCAGCGAATGGCTTCTTTGGCTTCGGCTTCGCTCAAGCATGCATTAAGCGCTCGTTGGCATCGAATACTCAAACCCTTGCCGTCGGAGAACCTTTCCTCGCTGGATGTGGTTATCACACTGGTCCGAAATAAGGTTGACGCATCTCTACTACAGCAACAGTGCACTCGTCATTTTGGCTCGGCCGGAGTCTTCCTTTGTGGTGCTCGTGGGTCTATCATTGGTATCAAGTGGAGACCTGGTGCTAGTGTGGCCAGCAGGAAGCAGCTGGCCGGCGGGATGCAGCATTTGGCGGTTAGTGAAGATTTGGTGGTGCCCAACTATGCGTGGGTATTGGAGAACGTTGTGAAGGGGATGTGTGGAGGAGTGGTGAAAAATGTCAAGATGCAGGGGGTAGGCTATACGATTGTTCCTGGCTTGATTGACTTATCACTTGTGGCTGTTCAGGTCGGCAGTAATCTCCTATAACGTAAACTACTACTACTTCTACCAACGTCAAAGGTTTCTCTTACTTGCTGTTGATTTGGGTTCCCTGCAGTTGATGATATTGGGAGTGCTACTCGGCATAGAGTTGTTTGAGTATACTTCCATCTGCGCGTATACGTTGGTATTTCTATTCTTACCAACTTATTTCCAGTTCCCGATTACAACGACTCCCGTTCGGAAAGCGGACTTATAAGTATCGATTCAACTTTCTCTCGATAAGCTTTGACAATAGCGGCTATACGAGGCATAACTGAAGCAGTTCGTGTCTGGGGGCATTGAAAGCTATTTGTGGAGCGAGGGAAGTCGATTCCCTGGCTACAACCAGAAACAGTCCCCATTAAGTCATCGGTACCCATACCCTCACTATAATTCAACTCATCCAAATCATTGAAATTATAACCAGACTACATTAGCAAAATATAACTAGAGCAAAGAATAAATTATTCTTCTCACAGAGGTGAGATTAGCTGAACCACTCTATTGAGCAACAACTATGAGAACTCTAGCTAAATTAGACAAATTATAAAAAAGTTTACGGCTATCGAACGATCAGTTTATCAGCATCATGCTTTGGGGTTCTGATGGTGATATTGCGAATACGGACGAGTATCTCCAGACGTCGTTGACGAAGCCCACAAAATCGAGCTACTCAGCGTCCAACTTTACCTAGGGTAGCTGTGGGTTAGATCAAAAGAAGAAAAGTACAGGGATGAACCCAATCTGGATCAACGCTCTCACAGTATCAAAATTCATCGGGCTACTTGGCACCACTAGCTAAGCTCCCCAGCTACAGAGCTTGTGTCAGCAGTACACTTACGCATGTACGAAGTGGACACCACTGGTGCTACTTCAACCAGAGATATTCAAGCATACCAACATGTAGAAAAAGGGAGTACAATCTAGACGGTCAGAAGGGAGTAGGAGCATTGTTCCCACCAACACTTCGTGCTTTTCAGCATAATTCTCGAGTATTTGATGAGCAAGGCGAGTACCATACCGGATCCGAAAGCCCCGAAATAACACTATGGTATTGCCTAGTGGTACAGGTTTGTTGAGTCCTATCGGAGAACTTTTCTCCAATGAAAACTCTGCTCAAAGCTAGGATAATAGAATACATAACATGATTACCTGCTTTTACACTAAGCACTATCTTGTGCGGTTCTAAAAGAATCCAAGTTCTTGCAAGGTTTGTGAGTAAGGCTGTTACCACACCAAATCCAAAAGTCCTCAAATTGCACTATAGTACTCTTTATTAATGTTGAGTTATTGAGTTCTAATAGAGGTTAACTTGTTAACCTAGGTTAAATACCGATGCGGATGGTCGCGTCGCTCCGCTACCAATTCGCACTGCAGAGATGTAACGGTGAGGCGAGCGGATCCTCCCCGCTTTCCTTTTGTCATAACAGGGTCACGGGCTGAAGGATCTTCTGAATTTTATCGTTGCCAATCGTGAGGTTCATGAGTAATGGAGCCTTAGGTCATCATATGCCTGCTTGCTTTTGTGCCCACTCTAGATCGAACTTTGCGTTGTTCGGGCTCTCTGATGTAGCTGTCTCTCATGGTCAACTCGATCGCTGCTCGTACGTCGCCACGCGATATTGTAGACCCATGACATGGGTCCTACGTATACCTCAGCAAGAAGATCCGGCAACCGTCGCTATGAGTTACTACGAGTCCGTGTATACCTGTGCAAGAAGACGTGGTGACCGTCGCTGAGCTACCACAAGCCCTTCTACGCTGCTGTCGACATGCAGCAGTTGTAAGACCCTGTATGCCTCCAACGAGGACAGGGCAGCTGTCGACATGCCGCAGTTGTAAGACCCTGTATGCCTCCAGCGAGGACAGGGCAGCTGTCGCTATGCAACATTTGTAAGGCCCTGTATGCCTCCTGCGAGGACAGGGCAGCTGTCGACATGCCGCGGTTGTAAGACCCTGTATGCCTCCTGCGAGGACAGGGCAGCTGTCGACATGCAGCAGTTGCAAAGACTCTGTATGCCTCCAGCGAGGACAGGGCAGCTGTGGCTATGCAGCATTCGTAAGACCCTGTATGCCTCCAGCGAGGACAGGGCAGCTGTCGCTATGCAGCATTTGTAGGACCCTGTATGCCTCCGGCGAGGGCAGGGCAGCTGTGGCTACGCAGCAAATTGCTGCCAGCAATCGGAAGACCCTGTATGCCTCCAGCGAGGACTGGGCAGCAGTGACTATGCAGCATTTGTAACCCCCTGTACGCCTCCAACGAGGACAGGGTAGCTGTCGTCATACAGCCTCGTAACCCCGTGTTTGCCTCCAGCGAGGACAGGGCTGCTGTCTCCATGCAGTTTTGTGAGCCCGTGCATGCCTCTAGCGAGGACATGGCAGCCATCGCTATGAGCCACTGTAGGCTTGCTCATGCCCCGCAAACGGAGAGGGTAGCTACCGCTCTACAGCGTTGTGAGCCTATGTACACCTCTGCAAAGGAATCGAACATCTTTTGTTAGGCAGCTTCGGCGAAGCTGCTTCGCGAGGTAGTTCATGTCTTTGCAAGAGGACAGAGCAGCCCTCGCTATGCAGCGGCATGGCAGTTTTGCACGCCTGCGCTATACAGGCTGTTTGCACCTCTGTAATATATAGCAACTGTCGCTATCGTAGCGACGCTACGCCTCTGCAAGACAGCGGGCAAGGCTCTGAGCCCGTTCATGCCTTCCGACTAACACCAGGCCCTGGTGATCAGAGTTGCCCTGGTGACCTGGGCAACTCTCCCCATGCAGCATCCTTGAGTTTGGACATTCCTCTAGACGACGGCAGGCTAGATACGAGTCTCAGCGTTCAAATACCATGCGATCGTCGAGTCTGAGGGGTCGCCTGTCTCAGGAACTAACGGATTCCAATGCCGATGGTCGACAGCGTGCTATAGCGACGCCACGATTGCTTTACACTACCAGTGTTAGCCTTACACTGTAAGGTGCAGAGCCGTACATCATGCGTGCTTAACGCGCAGCACCGTGCTGCCAGCACACGTCATACGGCTGATGTGATACTTCAATCCTAATGTTTCTGGGACCCATTAAGGGTGCTCCAGCACATGGATCCCTTGTGACAAGGAGCTACTCTAAGTAGCCTACGCAACGCAGCGCACCGAGACATCCTGTGCCACTTGCAAATTGTAAGTCTCACCGTGGGAATACCACGGCCCAGGTGACGAAAACCCGATGAGTGTTACCGTAACATAACTACTAATATTGTTATTACATGACGGCACACACCCGCTGCAAGCCGCATGCGGACGGCTTGTCAAGCTATGCATAATGCATAATGCATGGTGTAGGACACAGCGTGTATCTCACACGGCTCGTGTCCCGCGAGTCGCCAAGGCTCAGCCATCTAATGTGACTCAGACTCACTGAACCTCACCTCAGTGTATGCCGTGGAGGCTAACCGTGCATCGTGGCAATTCCTCTTCGGTCACTGGGCACTGCCAGTCTAGAAGCACATTGTCGAGCGCAGACATCGATCGCTAGCAACCAGGTGGCTGCGCTTCCTCAGTGTCCTCAAGAGAACCGAGGCTCCGCGATCGATAGCGGTAATCCAGTACCATCCAACTGATCAGTGATGCTGGATCAGCAGAGTCTACATCCTCTGCGATGCCCCACAGTTTTATCAGAGTAGACGTCTGACTCTGGGTCCAAGAGGACACTATGAATTATTCTTGCCTTTATCCGAGAAACTCTCGTCGGCGACCACTCACCGTAGTCAAACGGCAGGCTCCTGAAAGTAACTGCTTTCGAAAAATGCGGCATGTGAGCAAAAGTTCACGAAGTTACTGCGGTGCGAGTGCCGTACTCACCCGTAGCAGAGAGGTCCTATCTGTGTCGCAGAGTCCTGGACTCTGCTTACTCGTACCGACAGCTACCGTAACTGGTTACGGCTCGAGTGAGGCGAGCTTGAAGAGGACGTTGAATCCGTGGTACACAGGCTGCCAGCCTGGTGTTCTAAGTTGGGAGCGGGTCTATTCAACTCAAGCCGATGGCACACTGTATGGTTTGAAACCATTGGTTTCATACAGTGTCATCATGATTCATGACACTGTCATGCACTCTGGCACACTCACGATGTACATGTCATAGTAAGTATTGTCATTAGTCATCGCTCAGTGGGTAGTGTCACTCGTCGAGAAGCGCTGGTGTTAGCGGGCCGAGCTCGTCGCCTAGCCTAGGAGAGCTAGACAATCGGAGGCTCAGTGAGACTGTCTCACGGTGAGGCCCTCACCTCCTCGCTCACTACCATGGGATCGCTTTGCACTGCGATGACTGCGCCTGGTCAGCAGCTTATAATATGAATAAAATAGTGGTTCGGGTCGATCCACTCGATGGCATCAATCCTCTCGCTGGCAGGAGGAAACCAAGTGATGTCAAGTCAACATTGTCAACGACATGCCGTTCCGGTTTTCAATATGGCCTGAGGCGGTCAGCCCAGGCGATCGGATCGGCGCTGTTCAAAGGCCAGGATCCTGAATTTCTCCGATTCGGATTTTGCTGTGGGTTTCACTGTGTTCCAGTAATCGGAACTCAGTTCTGAACTGACAGTTCAGACTATAAACTGCAATCCGAAATGTTCCGGAGATCGTGGTACACCGCTGCGAACTCTCGAACATCCGGACAGCATTTGGCCGAGACAACTTGATGCGATCAATCAGGTTCCATCGAACAAGCAGCCAGGCGAAGCTTGCCAGTGCTCATTGGCAAGCTCAGATTTACCAGTGGAGACCATAACTTGTTCGAGCGCATAACTCGCTTCAGCGAAAGTGGTTGCCCATGGAAATGATGGACGACAACCGCCGTGAGAGTCGGTCTCTCATAATAGTTGTGACACAACCATCAACGGTACCAATGGTTGTGAGAGACTCTCACTGAGACTCATATTTGTTTGTTGGGAGGGTGCCACTCACGGTGGCCGCCAAAGAACGAGCGAGTGTCTCTGTCAGAGACTCTGACTCAACCAATCAGCCTCAACAGAAACATTAACCGTCATCAGATTCATGACGCGAGAGATCCTCTCTGTCGTCAAGGGCTCGAGACTGTCGAGCCAGGCGCCAAGAGTCGCGGCCCTCCGGCCAAGAGAGTGCCGCTGAATACCACCACCGATAACATTGGACAGGCTAACGGTTCTAGTCTCGAACTACACTCTACTGCCATCGGGAACGATGGTCTCCGGTCGGAGGTGGCCTTTTTGGGCATAAACCTCTCAAGTCTCGGAGATGATGCTTCTGGTCGACACACTGCGGGAGGCGCTGGCGTTCCGTGGTTGTGCACACCACCCGCAGATGTAGAAGCGGACCCCGCCGAGAGCAGAGGGATAATCCTGGGCCAGGAATCCTGGCGGAGGATGATCTCGCTCCGGGAGCAACATTCATTGATGTGACAAACCGCGCATTTAACAGGCCGAGCTAATCGGTCGTGAGCTACTGTGAATCGATGATAGTCTAACAGTTAGACTGTAACTAAGCCGTATCACTTTAGACTCTCACACAAGCAGAGTCTGCTCAGCAGGCCGCGGGATTTTGCTGACACGGGGATTATGGGTTATTCGTATTTTCGTGCCAATCTGGTGTCGATTGGCAGCCGCTTAAAGCTTGGTGTCCATTATGGGCAGCCCATATAGCCTTCGGAGCAAGTCTCCTGCTACTCCTGCCCCGGGGTCTGGTATGGGGAGCAAGTACCGAAGAGGGTGCAGACACGCACTGTCGGCACACTTACTGAGTGTCACTCAGACTCTGTGTCTCTGAGTGTCTTTCCCTCATCGATACTTCTAGGGTCGGTTCGTACCGAACCGCCCCACCAGACCCACCCACGCGACCAGGAGTGGGATATTTAATAGAGGTTAACTTGTTAACCTAGGTTAAATACCGATGCGGATGGTCGCGTCGCTCCGCTACCAATTCGCACTGCAGAGATGTAACGGTGAGGCGAGCGGATCCTCCCCGCTTTCCTTATGTCATAACAGGGTCACGGGCTGAAGGATCTTCTGAATTTTATCCCAATCCCACCACTCCCGGGAGCAAGTACCGAAGAGGGTGCAGACACGCACTGTCGGCACACTCACTGAGTGTCACTCAGACTCTGTGTCTCTGAGTGTCTTTCCCTCATCGATACTTCTAGGGTCGGTTCGTACCGAACCGCCCCACCAGACCCACGCGACCAGGAGTGGGATATTTAACAGAGAATCTTCCTTAGTTGAAAATTCTTCGCGGAACTCGGAATGTTTTTGTCGGAATGTGTATATCTCGCTAGCTCCTCCATTCGGCATTATCCTGTTCAATACTAAGGGGCTCTCAGCTCTCGCGAAGCTTCTGAGTAAGGCTGATACCACACTAGACTCAAAAGCCCTTACATTACACCATAGTATCGCCTAGTGAAGTCGAAATCTTGACTTGATTGATCGAGTATATTCAATCGGTAGTTCATCTTGACACGCGATATACTTATGGTACGTTGGATATCCCCTCCGATCAACGATCGACGAATGCCCCGCAATTGGCGTTTGAGACGTACCCTTTTATCGGTAAACGATTATGTCTCCCAGACTTTGGACGGTTTTACCCCTACATAATCGTCCTTGCCTATCATCAGGCGACGCCCCTGAAGACGACGGAAATGCCCGAAGAAGTCCTCGAGGCCCTGTGTATGTTCCGGACAGTTCTGCCTTGGATGTATGCTCCGCGAAGAAGAAGTTGTACGACGGTGGTGAAAGCGGGTTCAATTCAAGGGGGCTCAATGTATCGTAGCAAGATCTCTTCTAGGTCGCTTCGTGGGCAATCTCGTTCACATCGTCTGAGGAGTTTTCCGTGGTCGACCCTATACAGTGCCATCTCCCCTCAGCATCCTCACTTCTCCTGCTAACAGGGTCGGGCCTCCTCACCCACCTCGGCCTTGTCCTTCTATCCCTCTTCTATGATATTCGAGACCCCGAGCCGGGCCTGGTGGTTGCCAATCTGGTGGGTAATCCCCTCCCATTCTCCCTCTCACACGAGCCTTCCAGATTCTCTTCATCCTCACCACTCTTACCTTTCTGGTTACAGCACTATCAGACCCTGGTGTAGTTCCGCCTTTAGAAGTGTTGACTGAGACGGGACGAGGACCCGATGAGGAGTAGGAAGAAGACTCGTTGGTTTGCCATATCTCATTCGATGTAGTAGCCGCGTTCGGGCGGCTGAGATCCTCACCTGTCAATTTCCATTTGCCTCTGATTTTCCGGATAACGTATCTTGCGCCTATTCTAGGTACCGGCGCGAGATACGAGATGATAGGTGGCGGAGCTCTGATGATAATTGCAGGTGTGCGTTCGCTTCCATACCATCTTTTTACCAAATCGTCAGCTACGCCTTATACGTGAACACTGTACTGGACTTGGACACAGCTCGGGATTTTTCCACTGGTCACGATGTGCGTTTCTGTACTACGTGTAAAATCTACCGTCTCGAAGGGTGGAGTCATTGTGAGCATTTTGTATTCACAAAGTTGCTAAACTTCAACACCCCAGGTTCTGAGTGCGGGTACTGTATCCGTGGTTTCGATCACCACTGTGCGGTGGTGAACAATTGCATTGGGCTGCGGAACCGGAGGGCCTTCGTACGTGATACCGCTCCTGTCTGAAGTGCGACTAGATCTTACTAGGTATTGTTCATAGCGGCATGTAGCATTTACATGCTCTTCAGCATAGCCCTGGGTGTTTACGCTTGCGTCGACTATGCTCTCGATCGGGAACGACCGGTCGGCCGAATGCCCATTGCTTGGATAGTGGTAGGGTTGATTCTGTCCAAGGGCTGCGTAGTGGTGACAGCAGGTATGCTCGCTCGCCGCGGTCCTCGTATTGGGCTTCTTATTATTCCGTACAGCGCTGCCTCGAATGTGTCAAATGTGGATAGGCACGGCGGCTGTTGGAGGGATCATTGTGGTGTAATACGCAGAGGCTCGTTCGAGTTGTCGCACCTGGGAATTGATCCAGGGACCTCTGGGATGGAAGAATAATGCTATGTCTACTCCGAACTTAGGTATTTGTACTTCTCCATCAGTAGCAGACTTCCATGGGCCTCACTAGCCCTCGTATTAGCGTCGATTGTCGGCATCGTGTCAGCGGTAGGATCATCAGGCGGTCTCGTGCTCGACTCATTTGCGTGATGCCTTGTAGGTTCCGAATCTAGGGCTTCATTGTTGGCTACTTTGTAAAGGGCAAACGTATAAGGATTCGATACGGAAGAATTCTGGCAGAAAATCTTCCGCGTGCGCTTCAGGATTTGTAGTCTATCGTGTCTGTGATGAGTTGTTGACAGGTTTTTAGCAGTAATATTTGGCCCGTTACGAATGTCCTCATACGCGAGCTTGTTGTTAGAAGAATGCACTGTGGAGTGATTGATGTTTGCAGTTTCTCTTGTTATCTATTGTTGGTGTTTGGGAGGATAGTTGGTATCTTTTGCATGTCAGCTTGTTGTAATGGCCAGCATAGAGCACATCATTCGTCTAAGCGGAAGCGGCTCGTGCCTGTTGATGGTGGTGCATTCGTTGTCGTAGGGGGAGGTCTCGGGTTCGAACCCTGGCTGCGGCATTTTGTGATTTAGGTACATATTTTGTCCGCAGTATTCGTTCTGGAGGTTGCTGCGTAATTTGGCAGATCTTGCATTGTTCGGCGGCCTGGGTGTTGCCGGTATGATTGCAGAACTGTGGTGAGGAAAATGCCGGCTGCGGGGATCGATCCGGGGACCTATCGCTTGTCAGGCCCCGAGACTCGAAAGCGCATAAAGTCATACGAGCTGTTCTGCCTTTCATGACGTCGTTCATTGGTCGTGCAGTCTTCTATATTGTAGCGAATATTCGGCAGCTTCGCTCCGCTCGATGGGTTCTAATCTGTCAGGTTATCGGGATGCTATGTAGCGGTAATTACACGTACAAGTCGGTTCGGTCGGTGGGTGAAGGGGAGGAGGGAGAGGCTAGGATGTTGATGGTGTTGTTGGGAGAAAACGATGGAGTGAAGGTCAACTCCGGGTAGGCTATTATGGATGGCGATGCTTTTGATGGATGCCGCTTTAGATTCTGGTCGTTCTTTTGCGTCCTCTCTGGTTTGTTCATGATCTCGACTGGTGCTCTGACTCTGTATTACGCGATTAAGGTGAGCATGCGGCCTTGGTGATGTGATGGGGGATGCCTTTGATTTTAGTACAAGGGCTTGTCGTTCTTCACTACTTCTCCGCGGCAGAGGGAACTGTCGACTCCGATGATGAGCTCGACGGAGAGGGGAGGGACTAGGACTGATGTACGCCATCTTTTGTGGGATTTAGTGACATGTCTGGGTAGGCATCGGTGTTGGAAGAGGAAGCTCTACCGATCCCCTTCGCTCCATTTCCTCCAGAAGGGCGAACACCGACGGTTGAGGGAACAGTGCAATGAGGAGCTTGGCTCTTCTTCTTCTGAGTGAGTGAGATTTTGAGGTGGTATCTTTGCGTATCTTTTGTGGTTGGACCTCAGATACTTATCAATAATTTCTGAGATTGTTGTTGTTCTTTTCATTCATCCGGCTGTGCACGATGGTCATGCATTATTATTACTATTATTTTGTATGCATCCAATGTAGATGATGCTGCCAATGAACCTGTAGTAGCGGTCGTTGCACTGATAAAATTGTTATTGGAGAAATCAGTGTCGAGTCTCTCGTCTCGAAAGCTAAGTTGTCATTGCTCGATGGATATCATATTTATTATACTAGTAGTACTACTGCTTCGTTGTCACGTAGTGGGATACCGTCAATTCTGTGGGAGGAGATTTGCGAGCCTCTTTGCAAACTGTGAAGAGTGTTCGCAGATCCTGAATGCGTGTCATCGACTTTGGACTGCTTGGTTGTGCCGAGTTGGTAATTACCGGGATCGAACCTGTGCGGGTTTTGGGAAGGCGGGTTGTTAGTCGTGTTATCTAATGACCATCATTCGTGCTCTGTCCTTGCCTCGGTCGGCGGTTATTGTGGGATATGCTCGAACTCCGATTGGCTCCTTTTTGGGGAGACTGTCGTCCTTCAAAGCACCTCAGCTGGGAGCCCATGTGAGTACCCGTTCAGAGAAGCTCGGATGGTATCTCAACTCTACCTAGGCGATCACAAGGGCCTTGGCTCAAGCTAAGGTCGATGTGGGTGAGGTGGATCAAGTGATTATGGGGCATGTATTGTCAGCTGCATGTGGACAGGTAGTACGGGACTGGGATAGTTATCGATACGTTCAGCAATGAGCACGCTGATGCAGCCATTATGTGTGTAGGCACCAGCGCGTCAGGCTGCCTTAGCGGCTAAGTTGCCGTCGTCTACTAATGTGATGAGTGTGAATAAAGTGTGCAGTAGTGGCATGAAGGCCGTCTCTATGGCTGCGGCTTCGATCGCTATTGGAGAGGCGGACGTGGTAGGTCTTGGGGGTTTAGATATCTATGGAGGAGTGTGCAATGGTGGCAGATCGTCGCGGGAGGGATGGAGTCTATGAGTAATACGCCTCACGCACTAACGGAAGCTCGGAGTGGAGGATATAAGTAAGTACCCGATGCAGGATTCGAACCTACGACCATCTGCTCCGTAGGCAGACATTCTATCCAGCTGAACTAATCGGGCGTTGTTTTTATCAGATATGGCCATGGTCAGCTAGTGGATCTTGTCCTGAGGGATGGTCTCTGGGATGTGTACAATGACATTCACATGGGCAAGTGTGCCGAGAAAACCGTCAAAGAGTTCGGCATCACTCGAGAGGAGCAAGTGCGGCCCCCCCATCGCCGAGTTTAATATTATATATCCCTACCTTCTCAGGATGACTATGCGATCCAATCCTATCAAAGGGCAGCGGCAGCCTGGAGTAGAGGGAAGATGAAGAACGAGGTAGGGTAGTCGGGGTTAATGATGCACTCCCCTCTACCCCGAGAGTATGGTGGTAGCAGCTGTGTTCTGATGTGCTTTAGGCATTTCCAGTCGAAGTACCTTCAACCGTCAAAGGCGGCGAACCTAAAATTTTTTACAGTGACGAGGAGTGAGTCCTCATCTGATGGCCGTTGTAGGAAGCAGGACTACTTCAGGTTCACAAATTTGAAAATCGAACGGGTAGCGGCCGTGAGACCAGCCTTTCTCAAGGACGGCACCATCACAGCCGCTAATGCGTCCAAACTGAACGATGGCGCTGCGGCGCTGGTTGTTGTCAGTGAGGAGTTTTCCCGAGAGCAAGGCTTGACCCCATTGGCTCGGTAGAAGTAGCGCGCGCCCAGCTGATCGATTATATGAATGCCGTTCAGGATTATATCGTGGGCAGATTTCGAGCAGGACCCAATAGACTATTCCTTGTCACCAGCCGGAGCAGCGCGGGTGGCCCTGCAAAGAGCGGGGATGACGACGAAGTGAGTCGTGGACACTTCGGGGGGAGATTGATCGGAACGGTGGGAAGTAGAGGTTGAAGAACGATCTATATTCGCAATATCGCTGTGTTTGAGTGAGGTCAGTCTTCCTCTATTCTGTTGTATGGTGAGGGATCTGTCAGGGACGTGGATGTGTGGGAGATCAACGAGGCATTCTCTTCGGTGGCGATAGCTAATATGAGGTTATTGGAGCTGGACCCATCGAGAGTTAATGTAGATGGAGGAGCGGTTGCTCTCGGGCATCCCATAGGAGCCTCGGGAGCTCGCCTGGTGGGGACTCTCAGCAGAATTCTCGGTGAAAATGATTATACTGTTGGGTGCGCTACGATATGTAATGGTGGGGGAGGGGCTACGAGTGTGGTGATAGAGAGAATTCAGTGAACTCAATTGATGGCGTGTTTCTTCTGAATTGGTGTGGTTTGGTTTGGTCAATGGAAGCATGACGGTCTCGGGTTCGAATCCTGCGCCGGGGATTATTCAAACGTCTACGACCTACGCCAATAGGGCGATGAGTGTGCCTTGGGGAAAGGGAGGGTTGCTTTGAACGGCTGTCGATGCTACTGTTGTATGGGCTCATCGTTGACAGAAAGATGGTTTGGAGTTCGCTCCAGGACTTAGTGATGAGGTTGTTGACCAGTTTTACATTTTCTGATGGAGAACCACTCAGCTACGTTCGATCAGGAAGAGGCTCAGAGCAGCCACCACGATGGCTTTGATGGTAGTTGGCGTCCCTCAGGTTGAACCGTGCTGGATGGGAATCTGCTCAGGTCATCATTCGCACAATACCAGTACGGCAACATCGCAGTTGCAGGGGGAAGTGAGTCATATGCGGGCGACTCTGACGGTAGGGAGGGGCTACCTGGAGGGGGCACCATAGGACGGTGGATGGTCTTAGTTGGCAAAGGAGTCCCGAAAGAGGTCAGAGCTGGACGCTCAACTCCTGGCCAATCGCATAGCGCTTTTGAAACAAGAGGAGGAGAAGGCGTGGAAGAAAATACAGGAGACTCGTAGAAAGTAAATTGGGCCTGGTTTGTATCTTTCGTAAGTGGACCTAGGATATGCATGCTTTAGGGCGGAGCAGATCAACACACTGCGTGCCGAAAATGAAGCTAAAATGCTCGCCAGGGAAGAGGTGATGCCTATGCGAATTGGGTGGATAGAAAATTGAGGTTACTAAAGATGCATAAGAAGCAACGGCAAGCGACTGAAGCCATCCAGGTGCGAAATGCCTCTTTGAAGGACAAGTCCAGGCAGCAACGGGAGGTGATGTTGGTGGTGATGGTGGTGATGGTGTTGGAATGTGGTTATGGTAGGCGTCGAAGTCCGCGGTGCTCGAAACGAAGCGGTATCTTGTGCGAGAAGGTCGGGAGGAACAGATGAAGTTACAACGACAGAGGCAGGAGGAGTGGATGAGAGATAGGTGAGAGGTCTAAGGAGGAAGTGGAAATAGTGACATCGTATGGTAGAGGGTTGAATACGACTAGGGTTACGGCGATACGTAATCAGAAGGAGAATGCAAGGAAGAAAATTGAGGAGGAGAAGGTACGGGGGGCGAGGATTGGAAATTGTGGTATAGCGGCGTTCAGTTACGGAAGTTGGAGAACTCGAGAATAGAATATGAAAATAAAGTTCAACAAGAGGAGGCGATTCGCTCTCGTACTGAGTCGTTGGTATCCGCTATGGAGAGGGAAGAGATGGAGCTTATTCAAGTGGGATGAGAAGAGTGGGATTTGCGGTATTCTACTGTGTGCTCAGCGCCTTCAAAACACGCAGAATATACAGCGATCGGCCTACCAAGAGTTGGAGAACGCGTTGGGGAAGAGTAGTCGAAGCCCGTTGGCGACTAGCAGCACTTTTGTGCGGGACAGTAGCAAGGGTGAGCCTGATGACGGTGAATCCGCGGACTTGTCTTGGTTCAGGTGGTATACGAGAGGCATCGGCCCCGTCGACCGCTGTCTCGCCTCCTGCTCCACAGGGTCAGGATAGCACTGCATGATGATTCTTGTGTGAATGTAGTTCGAGGAATTAGTGGCAGTAACCACTGTTGCGTTTGAGGGGGCGATAGTCAGACGATAGATTTGACAAGTGCCGGCCGATAGAACTTATCATGGACATGGACACTTCCAAGAATCCACTGGGTGGTTGAGGACACCAATTCAGCGAGTAAAGATATGATATTCACAACCTAGGGGCATTAATCTAGCGGTGGTGGTCGAATAGAGAAATCAATTTCGCGGATAGGACATCAATTTCACGGAATCCCGAGCCTACTTCGACGACCATCACCGCTTCCTTCATAGTGACATCGCCATTTTATGGCTCTTGCTAGTGCGACAACAGCAGCGGACTGGAGTCCAGTTACTGGACTATGTGCCGTCGTAGCCATGTCGATGTGGAATTGGACTCCTTTGGGTGGAGGAGAGAAAGTGATGGTCGTCGGAGCACCACAATCGCAAATCACATTTTATGATGTCCTTGCCTAGATGCATTGACCAGCTAATTCGGTGAGACTGAGATCCGCCCCATTACTCGAGTGGAGAGATTCGTTCCTTATAAGGGGAACGGAGAGCATAGAACCCGGGTTCGAATCTCAGCCCTATCACTTTTAACCAGAGTGTCTGCCATCCAAATTCGATGCACTGAGCACCGTAATATCACCAACAGATCACTCATCACCAAGGAAAGAACTCTCGAGTAAATCTAATTCCGATTTGTTGCGAAATCTTGACGGTGAAGACACTCTCCGAAAATCGCAGCCTCTGATACTATCGTCGTGAGATTTGTTCTCTGACAGATTGCAGATTATTTTCCTTATCGTCATCTGCCATATGATTGGAAGAATGAGAGCTCACTGGGGAACTTGGAGTAACTCAAAATGGAGACGGGGAAACGCGAGGAAACGTAAAATCGTAGGATGATTGTTTGGAAATGATAAAGTTGGAGGAGCGTCCAAACGACCTCGACAGCAAACGCCCCGCCGTAAAGGGTCAAAACATTCTAGTGCGACAGCAAATCTACAAAGTACGAGGGACGAGTTTATAGAATGCATTCTCCCTGTGGGTTGAGTTGTTGATATCACACCATCGTCGAATGATACTGGACTAGAGAATATACTCAGATGCAATAGATGCATCCTTAGGCGCCAACCGCCACCATTATACAACCGGCGACTTGAGTGACAAACGAACCAATAAACCATATACGCTGCCTGAGAGGGG